AGCCATTCTCACCAGTGTGACTTTGAGGATGCTCCAAACCCTTTTGTGACTGGGTCACAAGTGTCTGCTGATGATGGGGACTGGGTTCGAACCAGTGGGCCCTCCTCCATGGACCACTCGGTCCTCCTGGCGGGTACCCCAATGGAGGTGAGGGGGCCCACCGGAAGCCTAAGATTTAGGAGGATGATGGGGCAGTAGGTGGTGATTTGGATGGAAGGAGAAGGGGGCTTCTGGAAGCAGCTGGGGTGCGGAGGGTCGGGGTGGCCCTGGGGGATAGCAGAGCCTCAGCATCCTACTTACCCCAAAAGGCTACTACCTGCACATGGACTCCAACAGCCTCCCGGAGGGCGGAGTGGCCCGTCTGCGCAGCCCCGAACTATGGGAGCAGGGCCCGCTTTGCGTGCATTTTGCCTACTACATGTTCGGCCTTTCATGGGGCACCCAGCTCAGGCTGCTACTGCTCATGGGGACACAGGATGAACGTCCCAATGTGCTCTGGAAACACGTGAACACCCAGAGCCCCTCTTGGATGCCCACCAGTGTCACTTTGCCTGCAGAGCTCATCCTGCCTAGCCGGGTGAGATCAAGGGCAGACCCAGGCCCCAGGGGGATTCTGGGTAGCCCACGGATGGGCTGTGGCAAGGCAGGGGCATGGGGACCAGGCTATCTGAATTCAATAAGGAAACCAGGAGCCAGAGGCAAAGGGATAGGAGGGAGACCTGGCCAAGTGGCTCATGGAGTTGGGGGTCCCTTTGTCTCCATCCTACAGCTGATATTTGAAGGAATGAGGGGTAGCACCGCATACCTGGACATTTCTCTGGATGCCCTCTCTATCCATCGGGGTACCTGCAGTCGGAGTGAGTCCCTGTCCCTCCTCCCGCTCACTTGTCTCTTCCTCCCTGACCCCTGCAAAACTGCCTGGAGTGGGGGTTAGGTCACTTAGAGCCCAAGGTCCTGGCTTTTTATAGGTTGAGGCTGTTGGCTTCTGGCAGCCACCTCACTTCACACCTCTGACTCCAGAAGCATCTGGTCCATCCAGAAATGGCCCTCTAAGCCAATGTTAGAGATCTGAGGAGAGCAATTCAAAGGAAAGAAAATTTCAGACATGGGTGAAATGAACCAACCCTGAGCATAGGGATTGGTTAGAGGTTCACACACAGTTCCATGGATTGAAATTGCAGCTCCACGGAGCAGGAGTTCCCAGTTTATAGATGATTAAACCGAGGTTGGGCAGATTATATCTGGGTACATAATCAGTACCCAGAGCACAGCCATGTCTGGCTCTGAATCCCACCATGGTTCAACAGAGGATGGAGATGGAACCTCAGCATTCTGACTCCAGACTGAGGCATCCTTTTCAGACCCACCGCATCTCAGAAAAAGCTCTTCCTTTCCTCTCAGTCTGCCCGATGCAAATGTGCAACTTTGATACTCTAAATGATCTTTGTGGCTGGAGCTGGATACCGACTGCCACTGGAGCCAAGTGGATTCAGAAGAATGGGTTGTCGGATCAGCCGGGTGTGGGCCAGAAGATGACTTCTCTAGCCTGGTCGTGAGTACTCACCATGTTCCCTCCTTTGACTTCTGGGTGGCTCTAGTGACCTCTGCACACCCTACAACAGCTGCCTTGGGACAGTCAGGGTAACCCCAACAGCCTCAAGCCTCTCTCAGCTCAACTTTCAATGGCAGGAAGTAAATGTCATACACTCTCCCCACCTCCAGTTTCCTCTGCTGCCATCCCATGATCACTAACTGGCAGATCCAACACAGCCTATTTTTTTTTTTAAAATTGGGACTGGGGTTTGAACTCAGGGCCTCACACTTGCTAAGCAGGTGCTCTACCTGAGCCACTACCTGAGCGACCTTGAACCACTTTGTCAGCCTTTTTTTGTGCTGAGTATTTTCGAGATGGGGTCTTGCAAACTATTTTCCTAGACTAGCTTCAAACTGTGATCCTCCTGATCCCTGTCTCCTGAGTAGCTAGGATTACAGGCATGAGCCATTGGTGCCTGGCTACGCGGCCTGCTCCTTACCTCCTTTCCCTGGTGGCTTTCATTCTTCATTCATTCAGCCATTCATCTGATACTTACCAAGCATCTACAATGTGGCAGGCAGTGTCCTAGGCACTTGGGAATCAGTGTGCAAAACAGACAAGGAGTGGTGCCAGGGAGGGGAGTAGACAGTTACCAAAAGAGTCCTATGGAAAAAATAAACCACCGAATAAGGGAAAGTTTGCAAATTTTAAATTTTAAATGAGACCTGTCAGAGCAGGTCTCATTCTGGTCACAGGTGAGCACAAACTTGAAAGAGGTGAAGGAATGAGGCATGACAATATTGGGAGTGGGGCAGAACATTCCAGGCAGGTGGGCCAGTTGTGCAAATGCCCTGAGACAGCAGCAGCCTGCAGGGGAGGAAGGGCTTTGAAGTTCAGCAAAGAGCCAGGTGGGTAGGATGGGAAGGGTGAGCTCAGAAATATCACAGGATCCTGTGGCACTTTAAAGGCCATTGTTAGGACTGTGGCTTTTTTAAATTTTATGTGAATAGGGGGCAGTTGCAAGATTTTGAGAAGTATGACTTGATCTGTTGTTTTTATTATGTGTAGTGCATGGGATGGAGCCCAGGGCCTGAAGCATGCTAGTCAAGTGCTCTACCACTGAGCTACATCCCCAGCCCTCAGATTTATTTTGAAAGGACCACTTGGGCAAGCCGGACATGGTAGTGAACATCTGTAATCTAAGAATTCAGGAGTCTGAGGCAGTGGAATCACGAGTTTGAGGCCAGCCTGGACTACATAGTGAGACCCTGTTTCAGCAAGCACAACAAAAAGGACCACTTGGTTTGTGTGTTAAGAAGCAACAAAAGGGGGAGTGGTAGAGTGGTCCAAGTGGCAGAGCCTCTGCGTAGAAAGTGTGAGGCCCTGAGTTCAAACCCCAGTATTGCCAAAAAAAAAAAAAGAAAGAAAGAAAGAAAGAAAAAAGCCACAAAAGGAACAGCAAAGATAGATGGAGACCATTTAGGAAAATTTGCAGTCATATGGTGATCGCCATTCCTCCTGTTCTTTCTATCCACAGATATTCCTTGCTTCCCCCACCCCCTTCCTTTTTTAGCAGTACTGGGGCTTGAATTCATGGCCTCACACTTGCTAGGCAGGCACTCTACTACTTGAGACACCCTGCCAGCCCTTTTTTGTGTTGGGTATTTTCGAGTTAGGGCCTCCAAACTATTTGCCTGGCTTGGAACCACGATTCTCCTGCCTCTGCCTGCCTCCTCAGTGGTGAGTTTACAGACCGCACCACCATATTCGGCTCCTTTTTTTCATACTTCTCTTCCATTTTTCTTTCACCATTTTCCCATTTCCTTTCCTTACCTTTCCCTCTTTCTTTGCTTTCCCGCCTGATCCCTCCACTTCAGCCTTCTTCTCCGTCACCCCCAAGCTCACACCTGCCTGGCATGGCGCCCGAGCGCTCCTCCTCCCAGACCCAAAGGGAGGCGGTCACGAGCCAGCGGCCTCTTTCCTCTTCACCCTGACGACTAGTTGCGTCACGAGGTGAGATCCAGGCTGATTGGCTGCTTGAGTTGGAGGACGCGTGGGATTGGGAGCTGAATGTTCTTCAGCGTCTTGACTGGTGCTCTCTCACCGGTTTGTGTGACTCGGCCTTGTCTGGTATGTCAAGGAAAGAAAAATTTCGACTAAGGTTAAGGGACCTGAAGAAGGAGCCCTCTAAGGACACAATTCAGGCTGCTGTTCTGAAAGGATGCTGGCCTTTACTGCGGTGCCATCCACATGTTTTATTCCAGTCCAAGTGTTTCTGGGAGGGTTGGCAGCCTTAGCAGGTGCAGGCTCACCTCAGCACTGACTGATTCTAGGTGGATGTTGGCGCTCCAAAGGGCTAGGTTCCCACCCTTCCTGGGGCCCTGTCCCTGTGGTTATAAGTCCCCTGAATTCCAACTGCTCCACCTTTTCTTTTTATAGGTGGCTTCTACATGCTCCTGGACCCCAAGAATGCAAAGCCAGGGCAGAAGTCTGCCCTCTTGAGCCCCCTGAGCCAGTCCGACGGCTGTCTGACCCTTTCCTTCCACTACATCCTGTGGGGCCCGTCTCTTGACACAGCCCTCCGCGTCTATGCTTCAGTCTTAGGTTAGAAGGGAGACTTCACTGGATTTGTACTGACCTGGGTGTATCTCCAAGGGCTGAGCTCCTAGGCGTGCTTCAGGATCTAGGGAAATCTGAGATTATACATGAGATTATTTCTGAAGTGGAAATAGGTAGGGCACTGAATTCTAGAAAAGTAGGTAAAGGTACCTAGAGAGAGAGATAGAGGGAAGGGAGGAGAGAAGAGGAGAGAGAAAGAGGGAGAGAGAAGAAAGAGAGGGGAGAGAAAGAGGAGAAAGAGAAAGAGAGGAGAGGAGAAAGGGTCGGGGGGAGAGGGAAGAGAGATGGGGAAAGGAGTATTATCCAAACACTTTCTGGACAACTCCTCCTTCATTTCCCGGTATCCACTTCTCTTTCTCTGATTTTTACCATCATAGGCAGCATGCGGAAACACACACTCTTATCAGCAGAACCCGGACCAAGCTGGAAGCCTGTTTCTGTCAATTACACAGGACAGGGGCAGATACAGGTATAGAGGAGCAAGGGGTCGTACACATGGTAGGTACCCCTGATGTTGGGATGAATTCATGATCTGAACACCAAAAGCAAAATGGAAGAACCAGATAGGAGGATGTGGGGGATTAGGCTTCATGCTTACTCTAGGCCCCTCTCCCTCTCTCTTCAGTTCACTGTGGTGGGTGTGTTTGGAAAGATCCCAGAGGCAACAGTGGCGGTGGATGCCATCAGCATTGCTCCCTGTGGGGGTAAGAGCATGGGGCTTGGGAGACCACCAAGAATTGGAGGTGGGAGTGATGGGGAACCTGACTTGAGTTTCTCACACCTCCCTCTTGGACCCACTAGAGAACTTTCCTCAGTGTGACTTTGAAGACATTGCCCATCCGTTCTGTGACTGGACCCATGAACACAGTGATGGCGGACGCTGGACCTGGGGAAGTAACAATAACCCTATCCCCATCCCAGACTCCTTTGGAGACTCCCCATTTAGAGGTGAGGAGATTGGGGATATGTGGCCAGTGAATCACTGAGTGTGCTCCCAGATAGGTGCACTGGCTGGAGCCCGTGCTCTGGAGGATGTGGTTGGAGGGGGTGAAGATCAGCCAGCAGGTGTTTACTGAAAAACTGCACAGGCTAGAGATGAGGCGTTATGGGTGCTTGAGGATCTGAGATCACTATGACCCCACAGAAAATCCATGCTTCCCACTTCACTAAGTCCAAGGCTTTAAAACCCACTATCTCAGGTTGGAGGCATGGCTCAAGCAGTAGAGCTCCTGCCTAGCAAGTGCAAAGTCCTGAATTCAAACACTAGCTCCTCCTCGCCCCCCAAAATAACCCCACTATCTATCTCATTTTCAGCCAAGACATTTGCGGGCACTGCCAACCATGGAATCTTGGTGGCAGGCTTGTTTTCTCTGTAAAGTCCAAAATGAGCAGAGAAAAATGCTGTGGTATATGGTTTGGTTGCTTTCTTACACGAAAACTTGGAAAGTCAAAGGTTACAAAGCTCACGCCTATTATCCTAACTACTTGGGAGGCTGAGATCGGAAAGGACTGATGTTTGAGGCCATCCCACGCTAACAGTTCTCAAGATCCCATCAGCAAAACAACCAGAGCAAAAGGGACTGGCTCAAGTGATAGAATGCTTGCTTTGCAAGTGTGAAACCCAGAGTTCAAATCCTAGTCCCACACACACACACAAAACGCCATATATGACTATAGCAGAAATAGACTTGTCTTGTATGGGGGTCTTGCCTTACTGGTTCCCCTCTTTTCTCCAGGGCAGCACTATGTCTATTTTGAGGCAGAGAAATTCTCTCAGGCAGGACAGTCTGTCAGACTGGGAAGCCGGCCCTTCTGCGCCCCAGGGGACATCTGTGTGGAGTTTGCTTATTGCATGTATGGCCCGGGAGATGGCGCCACACTCAAACTTCTGCTGGGCAGTCCTGCAGGAAGTTCCCCTATTTCTCTGTGGGACCGTGTTGGCTCTCAGGGCTCTGACTGGCTGAACAACTCTGTCACCATCCCTTCGGGATATCAACAGCCCATGCAGGTAAAAGAAAGAGGGTCCTGTGTATGTCTGCATGGGGCATGGTTAAGGGGTCCAGGGATGTCGGGTGTGATGGTACACGCCTGTAATCCCAGCTACTCAGGAGGCAGAGGTAGGAGGATGTCAGTCCATGGTCTGTCTGGGAAAAGTGTGAGATGCTGAGAAACAAACTAGAAAAGCAAAAGTACTGCGGCCTGGTTCAAGTGGTAGCACCTTTGCTTAGCAAAGTACCCTGAAATAAATCCCCAGTACTGTCAAAAAAAAATTGGGGAGATGGTTCAGAGTTGGATGATGAGCTGAGACTGTAGAGGCTCCAACAAGTTGACATTTTTTTTTTTTTTTGGTGGGACTGGGGTTTGAATTCAAGGCTTTGAGCTTGCAAAGCAGGTGCTCTACCACTTGAGCCACTCCTCCAGTCAATTTTGCTCTGGCTATTTTTGGAGATGGGGGTCTCTAGAACTGTTGTCTGGACTGTTCTCAAACTGTAATCCTCCTGATCCCAACCTCCCAAGTAGCTAGGATTACAGGCATGAGTCACTGGCACCTGGTTCAAGGTGACATTTTGGCAGAGGACATGCTCAGGGCAGAGATGCCAGAGACTGATTTTCACCTCTCTCTCTCTCTCTTTCTGTCTTTCTCTCTCTCTTCCTTCCTCCCTCCCTCCCTCACTTTTGGTGGTACTGGGGTTTGAACTCAGGGCCTCACGCTTGCTAGGCATGTGCTTTGCCACTTGAACCACATCCCCATTCCTTTTTTTCTCCTTCATTGCTTTCAGTTGTTCTTTGAGGCCACCCGGGGTGCAAACAGCACCTTTGTTATTGCCGTGGGTTTCATCCTGATTAGTCACGGGATCTGTCGAGGTAAGATAAAAGTCAAAGTCCCAGCAAGGGTGCCATGCCTACCCTGGGTTTCTCTCTGCAAAGTATGAAGTATGTAAAATGCAAGTCCTGTGTGCCCAAGGTCTCACACAGCTGTCATTGTTTTCTGTATTCTGCTACTTTCCCTTCCCTGCACCACCAGGATGCTTGCTTGAGCGAACGTGTCTTTGATACCGTGGATTCTTTTGGCTGGATCTAGAACCCTCACCTAGTGATCTCAAAGACAGGGCTCATTTTCTATCCATTTTATTCATTTTTGTGCTTTCTTCTTCTTCTTTTTTTTTTTTTTTGTTGGTGATACGGGGGTTTGAACTCCAGGCCTCACACTTGCTAGGCAAATGCTCTACCACTTGAGCCATCCTGTCAGCCCTGTTTTGTGTTGGGTATTTTCAAGATAGGGTCTCATGAACTATTTGTCCAGGCTGGCTTCAAATCTCGATCCTCCTGATCTCTGCCTCCTGAGTAGTTAGGATTATAGGTGTGAGCCACTGTGCCCAGCTCATTTTTTGTATTTTCTGAACCCAGCACAATATCAGACCTATGCTGGGAGCACGGTTGAGTGTTTGTTAAGTGAATGAAGGTTGAAAGTTGGGGAAGAGGAGAGGTGACTAAGTGGCTATCTTGAGCCCACACTCTCCGGTTAGATGTGGTGAAAGGGGAGTGTATGTCATTCTGGCTAAACTACAGGAATTTGTTTCTCTTTATAGCACCTGTGCCAGAAATGATTCCTACTGGACCTGCAGTTCCACCCACTGGCCCTTCTAAAGCCATTGTCCCCACCGAAGTGACCACTGTCCCCACTGAAGAGGCCACTGTTCCCACAGAAATACCTACTGTTCCCACTGAAGAGAGCACTGTCCCTACAGAAGCAACCACTGTCACTACTGAAGAGACCACTGTCCCTACTGACGTGCTTGCTGTCACCATTGAAGCGACCACTGTCACCACCGAAGAGACCACTGTCACCACTAACGCGACCACTGTCCCCACTGAAGAGACCACTGTCCCCACTGAAGAGACCACTGTCACTACCGAAGAGACCACTGTCCCCACTGAAGTGCTCGCTGTCACTATTGAAGCGACCATTGTCCCCACTGAAGCGACCACTGTCACCACTAAAGAGACCACTGTTGCCACTGAAGAGACCACTGTCCCCACTGAAGCAACCACTGTCACCACTGAAGAAACCACTGTCACCACTGAAGTGACCACTGTCACCACAGAGAAACCCACTATTCCCACAGAGAAACCAACTATCCCCACAGAAGTCACCACTAAAGAGATCACTGTCACCACTGAAGAGACCACTGTCACCACTCAGCAGCCTTCACTTGCTCCAACGACCTCCACGACCAGTACCACCCAGACCACTGCCACAACCCCTACACTTACCACAGGTATGAGGTGGATGGAACGTTGCCCAAATAGCTGAAAATAGGGCTGGGGATGTAGCTCAGTGGTTAAGTGTTTGCCTAGCATGCACAAGACCATGGGTTCGATCCCCAGTACCACCAAAAGAAAAAAAAAAAAAGCTGAACATAAGAGACACTGAGTAGGAGAGTCAGGAAAAGGGATTCTTCCAGTAGTAAAAGTGCATTCTTAGTGGACAGATGAGACAGTCCACATGACTTTAAAAGAATGGTGAGGGCAGGAGTGGGTGGGAGTGGTTGAGAACCAAGTGCCAGGCCTCCTTTTTACTCTTGTTTATTTTTTTGTTTTGTTTTCTTTTTGGCAGTACTGGGTTTGAACTCAGAGACACACTTGCTAGGCAGGCGCTCTACCACTTGAGCCATCTCCACCAGCCCTACCTTCTTACTCATGTGTTTTATTGAGACACAATTCATATACCATACAATTTACCCCCCCTCCTTTTTTCTTTGGTGCTGAGGATTAAACCTAAGGACTTATGGGTGCTAAGCCTTATGCTGTACCACTAGGCTATACTGCTAACCCTTATCCTTTTTGTTTTTTGTTTTACCCCTTTAGCAGCCATGTCCTATTCCCCCATATATTCTTAGATTTGTCTGTTCTGGACCTTCCTTCCATTTGTTGTTTTTTACTTGTGGGAGGGGGTTGAGCTTTTTGAGATAAGGCCTCAGTATGTATCCCAGGCTGGCCTCCAATTCTCAATATTCCTGCCTCCACCTTCCAAGTGCTGGGATTACAGGTATATGCCACCACACACAGCCTGTGTCCAGCTTTTATAACAGAACATAATGTCTTCAAGATTCATCCATATTGTAGCATGTGTCAGGACGTCATTCTTTATTATTGTTATTATTTTGGTGGTACTGGGGTTTGAACTCAAGGCATCATGCTTGCTAGGCAGGTGCTCTACCACTTGAACCATGCCCAGCCCTTTTTATTTTTTAGTTGTTTTTCAGATAAGGTCTTGAATTTTTCCCCAGGGTAACTGAAGACCATAATCCTTCTATCTATGCCCCCTGCATAGCTGGGATTATAGGTGTTAATCACCATGCTGGGCCCAGTATTTCCTTCTTAGGGCAGGATGAATTTGGCTGTTCTTTTCCAAGAAGTGAGCGGCATCTTAGAGGGAATGACTGTGTTTTCCCTTCAGAGAGCTGTCCCCTGAATGCCCACTACGAATCCTGTGGATGTGCTGCATCCTGTGAGAGCCCCAAGCCCAACTGTGGGCTGTTCTGCCGGCCGGGCTGTGTCTGCAACCCTGGCTTTTTGTTTAGTGGCAAGAAGTGTATCAATGCCTCTTCCTGTGATTGCTTCTACAATGACAACTACTATAAGGTAAGACCACAGGAATGCCTGGCTTCCCTGCAGAAAGTTGATGGCTGAGCACCTGGGCCCTGAGTGCAGCTGCAGATGCAGTTTTTTTAAAGAAATGTTTTTCACCCTGGACTAGTTGAAAGTGCATATGTGAATCTTGAAAATACAGAGGCCTGACAGTACAATAGCAAATATTATTACAATTTTTTTTGTGGGACTGGGGTTTGAATTCAGTCCTCCACACTTGAAAGCAGGCACTCTACCACTTGAACCACACCTCTAGTCCATTTTGCTCTGGTTATTTTGGAGATGGTGGTGGTGCAGGGGGGTGTCTCACCAACTATTTGCCCTGGCTGGCCTTGAACTGTGATCCTCTTGATCTCAGCCTCCCAAGTAGCTAGGATTACAGGTATGAGACACTGATGCCTGGCTCTGCAAATATTATTATTTTAATGTTTAATCAAAAAAGAATTATTAGAGCTGATGTCTGACTCAATGGTAGGTCACGTGCTTACATGTGCAAAACCTTGGATTTCATACTCTGTTCCCAAAACCAAAAATAAAAAACTATTGATGAGATGCTTGACTTTTTTCCCATACTAAATCTGCAAAATCCAGTGTGTCTTTTACACTTACAGCACATGTGAATTTGGACTGACTGGTGGCTGGTGTCTAATGTAATAGACAGGTCTACAGTCAGACAGACCCACACTTGTATCTGGGCTCTAGTGTTCATTTACTGGGTGACCTTAGGACAGTTTGGTTTTTTTTAATCTCTTTATTTATTTTCTTTTTTTGGAGGTACTGGTGTTTGAACTCAGGGCCTCATGCTTGCTAGGCAAGTGCTCTACCACTGAGCCACTCCAGCAGCAATTTCTTATCTTTTTAAATCTGTATGTCTCCTTATCTATAAAAGTATGCACAATAAGATTTTGTCTCATGTGATACTGTTGTAAGGATGAAATTTGATTCTACACTTCCCAATTAACTAATGTTCATTATTATAGTTAACAATTTATGATAAAGATCATATGCAACTTATTAATTAAAAGTACATTAAGGGATTGGGGAGGTGGCTTCATGGTAGAGCACTTGCCTTGCATGCACAAGGCCTTGAGTTCAATCTCCAGCACTGCAAAAAAAAAAGTGCATTAAGTGCATGTCATTAGTCCCAGCTACTCAAGAAATGGAGACAGGAGGATTACCATTTGAGACCAGCCTGGGCAAAAGTTAGTGAGATACTAGCTCAAAAACATGCTGGCCACCTGGCACCAGAGACTCACGTCTGTAATCCTACCTACTTTCAAGGCTGAGATTTGGAGGATTGCAGTTCAAGGCCAGCCTGTACAAATAGTTCTTGAGATCCCAACTCTAAAATAACCAGAGCAAAATGGACTGGAGGTGTGGCTCAAGCTGTAGGGAACCTGCTTTGCAAGTGCAAAGCCCTGAGTTCAAACCTCAGTCTTGCCAAAAAAAAAAAAAAAAGCTGAAAAGCTGGGCATGGTGGTACACACCTGTATTCCCAGCTGTGAGGGAGGCAGAGATAGGAAGATTGAGCTACAATGCCAGCCTGAGGAAAAAGCACAAGACTCTCTCTGCAAAATAACTAAACAAAACGGGCTAGAGGCACAAGCACAAGGCCCTGAGATCAAACCCAAGTACTGACAAAAACAAAAGTGCATTAGGCTATTCGCTAGTGTCCGGTGCCTCCTCTCAGCCCCAGGTGCTCTTCCTGTTGCCCTCAGAGCTCCTCCTGTCTCTTCAGGGGCTGTTTCCTCCCCTTAACCCCTGTTAACCATTCTCCATGGGTCCTAAACAGCCATGACCATCAGCATCAAGGGTCTTTCCCAATCAGTTGTGTGGCATGTGCCTGTAATCCCAGCACTTGGGAGGTGGAGGCAGGAGGATCTCAAGTTCGAAGCCAGACTGGGCTACATAAGACCTTGTCTCAACAAAAAAAATAAAAAAAGAAAAAAGAAACGAAAAGAAGGATCTTTTCCCTCTGCCCTAGAAGGTATAGTTAACTTATTGTATATTCATTGATGAATTTCTCAGGCTGGTGGAGTGGCTCAAGTGGTAGAGCACCTAGCAAGTACAAGGCCCTTGACTTCAAACCCCAGTACCGCCAAAACCAAACATTCACTGCTTAGGTCTTTCCACCCTCCCTAAGCCCTCCTGGTCAGGAAGGGCTGGGGAGCCTTCCTGAGAAAACTGCCTTTATCTGAACTCTGGTGGTTGCAGAGGAATGATTTAGAAAGATGGGAGAGGGAAAAGCATTCTAGGATGAGAACTCAGCATGTGGTCAGTGGGGTGGGTTGGGGGAGGGGGCATGAGCAATCTTAGGTCTGTACTTGGGAAGCATCCGGTTCCCTGTGCACAGTGGAGGAGGAGAAGGAGAAGGACCCCAGAGCTATGGTTTTGTGATTCCTGAGCTTTGGCTTCTAGCCTGGGGAAGAGTGGTTCAGCCCCAACTGCACAGAACGCTGCAGCTGCTGGCCTGGCAGCCGGATAGAGTGCCAGATCTCTCAGTGTGGGACACGTACGGTGTGCCAGGAGAAGAATGGCCAGTATGGATGCCAACCCTATGGTAAGCATCTCCCCCCATGCTCTTGGAATGGGCGGGGCACCAGAATCCTCAGTGCCCCCCCGGGGGGTGGGTGGAAGGGAGCTGGATGTGGGGCCCGGTTCAGTGGAACAACAGAAGCAGCTTCCTGTGTGCCCCCTTTCCCGCCTTTGGCAGGCATTGCTACCTGCTTCGCCTACGGAGCCCTGCATTATGTCACCTTTGACGAGAAGCACATTGGTTTCATGGGCAAATGCACCTATATCTTGGCCCAAACCTGCGGCAAGTGGACAGGTAGGGGCTGGAGATGCTGACCACAATCTGGGGCAGAGATCTGAGGTTAGAGGTGCCAGGCATGGGGACATGTGGTGGGGGGGCAGGGCAGGGCTGGGCCCAGATGATGGGAAAAAGTCATATTGGAGCAAAGTCCTCTGCAAGGCAAGGGTTGCGATGTACAACCTACAGGCCACTCTCTCTGAGGCCTGGATTACTAGGGAAAACGCAGTTTAAGATACCAGATAACTGCTGGGGTACCTGTGGCTCATGCCTGTAATCCCAGCTACTTGGGAGACTGAGATCGGGAGGATTGCAGTTTGAGGCTGGCCCAGGAAAATAGTTCTCAAGACCTCATCTCCAAAATAACCAGAGAAAGTGGCTCAAGTGGTAGAGCTCCTGCTTTGCAAGTGTGAAGTCCTGAGTCCAAATTCCAGTCCCACAAGAAAAAGAAAAAAAAAAAGTTATCAGGTGTTTGCTGCTATTGAGGGTCTGTCTAGCATTGTGAAAATCGCTATAAAAGAGGAGAGTCAAGAAGAAGTGTAGTCTCCTGGAGGATGTTCCAGTCCACCGAGGAGAGACATACAGGCAGTAGTGACGGGTTGTTCTGGCACAGGTCGTACATTCATGCCCCTTGCAGGATGAGAAAGGAGCACGTGCAAATGGCCTGTGGTGGTGGTAACATGAGGTCAGTGGAAGGACGAGGGAGTGTGTGCTTTGGGGAGAGCATCCTCACTCTGGGCATGGTGGAGGAGGAAGAGGAAGGACAGAAGATCTATAGCTTTGTGACTCCTGACCCCTTGCTCCTAGCCTGGGAAGAGTAGTGTACCCCCTCTTTTGGATCCTGCCATAGTCCCTTCTGAACTACAGGGGGCTTTGTTACTGCAGCCTTCAGCCCTGCAGTGCCAGGCTCAGGCCCACAGCTCAGAAATGCTTGTTGAATGACTCCCTGGGTTCTTTTCCTCCCTTTCCCCACCCAGACCCATTCTTCAGGGTGACAGCAAAGAATGAGGAACCAGAAGTTAAAGGCGTGTCCTGTCTGAGTAAAGTCTATGTGACCCTGCCAGAGACCACCATTACCCTGTTGAAGGACAGACGCACACTGGTGAGCCTAGTCTCCCTGCTGACCCTTGCCAGGGCCACCAGCCCTGAGATATGGCCTGCTCTTGGCCAGTGCTGCCAGGGACAGCCTTAAATAAAATAATGACAGATGCCAGTGGCTCACGCCTCTCATCCTAGCTACTTGGGAGGCTGAGATCAGGAGGATTGTGGTTCGAGGCCTACCCTGGGCAAATAGTTCATGAGACCTCCCCCCCACCTCCAAAATAACCAGAGCAAAATGGACAGGAGGTGTGGTCGGGAGGTAGAGCGAGCACCTGTTTTGTTAGTGCAAAGCCTTGACTTCAAACCTAAGTTCCACCAAAAAAAAAAAAAAGATGATGAAACTGGAAGCAATTCTAAGTGAGAGGTTGGTAAGACGATGTGGAGGACTTCATGCCTTCCAGCCACGGACAGGCTGAAAGGGTCCTCCTTGACCCCCAGATCAGTCTTTCTCTATCTCTTTTTCTTCTGTGGCACTGGGGTTCGAACTCAGGGCCTCACGCTTGCTAGGCAGGCGCTCTACCACTTGAGCCACTCTGCCAGCCTCTGTCTCCTTTCTGTGCCAGGTCGGGGTTCAGGAAGTTATCCTCCCAGTCATGCCTTATAAAGGTGTCTTTCTGAGCCTAAGTGGCCGATTTGTGGAGCTGAAAACAGCGTTTGGTTTGCGCGTGAGGTGGGATGGCAACCAGCAGCTGTTTATATCTGTGACCAGGTGAGGGGACGTCCCAGCCAGGCAACTGCCACTTCTCCCTGCTCCACACTCTCTCCTGGAACCCTCTCAACCTCACTCTCCTTCCTTCCATTCCGAGCTGCATCATGTCTGTACCTCCCAAAGGGTAGGAAGCCCCTAACCCAAGAGGACAGGGAAACAAGAGGAAATGGTTTCACGGCAGTGGGATAATAGCAGGGTGTATACACAATGCTTTGGGAATGTGCTAGAAGGAATTGTTCAGGGGCTCTGTGGGCTTCTAGAAGAACTGTCGAGAGAGTGGCTCCCCAGATGGACGGACAAGGGAAAGAAAGACTTTATAGAAATAGTGACTAAGCTGGAGAGGTGTAGGGCCACCAAGAAAAGCTTCATGGCTGGATGACACGCGGTTGAGCAGAAGGGACAGAGGGAGGCTGTACAGATGGCTCGTGGTAGGGCTATGGAGTCCTTATGTGCACCCCTCATCCCCCCTTCCTCCTCCTACCTCAGCGTTCTCAGCTCACTGTCCCCTCTGATGACTAAGTCCCCTTCTCCCCATTCATTGTCACCCCTGCCTCCTGGGCCCAACAGCACCTTCTCTAGGAAACTCTGTGGTTTCTGTGGAAATTACGATGGAGACAGCAGCAATGACAACCTGAAGCCAAATGGCAGCCCAGCACAAGATGAAGAAGAGTTGGGGAACAGCTGGCAAACAGCTGAGGATGAAGACAAGGAGTAAGCGGGAGTCCCCACTAGTAGGGGACAGGGATGATGTCCCCTCCTCCCCTTCTCCACCCTTCTAGCCTTTGCTTCTCTTTAAAGATGGACTAGAGCCAGGCGTGATGGCACACACCTACAATCCCAGCACTCAGGAGGCTGAGGCAGGGGATTCACAAGTTCGAGGCCAGGCTGGATACATAGCGAGACCCTCTCTCAAAAATCTAAGGCCTTGGGCTGTGGCTCAGTGGCAGAGAGCTTGCCTAGCATGCACGAGGCCCTGGTTTGACCCCCAGTACTGCAGCCACACAAACGAATGAAAACTGGAACTGGGCACAAATGAGGCCCACTGTAATCCCAGGTACCTGGAAGGAGACTGAGGCAGGAAGGATGCATTGAGATCCAGAGTTCGAGGCCAGCCTGGACAGCATAGCAAGATCCCATCTTCCCCCCATCCCTCCTCACCCCAAAAAAAGACCAGGTTGCATTGCCCTTTTCTCTTTAACTTGCTGGACACTCCAGATTTTTTACCTTCTTTGGGCTCAGGGCTTTCTTTTAGCCTTGCCAGTTTCTGGCTCAGGCCCCTAATGGGAAACAAGCCTGAGCCCTGAGTGTTTGAGCTGGGTCTCTTCTAGGTGCCAGAAGAATGAGGAAAATCTCCCATCCTGTGACACAGATTTGGTCAACAAAATGTCAGGCCCCAACTTCTGTGGCCAGCTGGTGGACTCCGATGGAGTTTTTGAGTATGGAGGAGGGCAGATGGGCCATGTGGGGCTGCTGGACCCCCCAAGCTTCTGCCCCTCTTGCCCTCTGACTCGGCCCTCTGTCTCTTCAGGACATGCCTGCTGCACCTGAAGGCATCTCCCTTCTTCGACAACTGTATATCTGACATGTGCAGCTTCCAAGGATTCCAGGAGATGCTGTGTGTCCATATGTCAGTCATGACTGCTGTCTGCCAGGATGCTGGCTATGAAGTGAAACCCTGGAGAAAATCCTATTTCTGCCGTAAGTTTGTGTCTAGATGCAAGGGAGAAGCTAAGGGGTTCATTTTCTTTCAGATGCAGACAGGGTGTTCACTGGGGGGTGAGATGCACCAAGTTGAACCCACTACACAAGGACAGGGCAGTGGGAAAAGTTAGTAACATCCCTGAGAATATCACAGTCATATTGCAAATGCCACAATGTATCCCCCACCCAGCACAACAGTAAAAATAGATAGATAGACAGACAGAAAATCACAGTCACTTGAAGGGCTGGGTGTAGCTCAGTGGTACAGTGCTTGCCTAGCAGGCTCAAGGCCCTGTGTTCCATCCCTAGCACCACAAGAAAAATAAATCAATCACTTGAAAACTCTAAAGGAGCCAGGAACAGTGGTTCATACCTGTAATCCCCGCTACTTATGAGGCAGAAATAGGAGAACTGAGATTCAAGACCAGCCTGGGCAAAAATTTAGCAAGATCCTATCTTAAGGAGCAAGTAGGGCATGGTGTTTTACACTTGTAATCTCAGTTATAAAAGAGGCAGAGGTAGGAAGATCTTGGTCCAAGGCCAGCCTGGGCAAAAAGCTTGAAACCCTGTCTGAAAAAGAACTAAAGCAACAAAGGGAAGGAGGGTACGTGGCTTGAATGGTAGAGTAACTGCCTAGCAAGAGCAAGGCCCTGAGTTCAAACTCCAGTACCACCAAGACAAAACAAAGCAAGATTGGCCAGAGCCTCTCAAGATGGGGCCTTCTGAGCACATTCTTCCCTTTTCTCCCCTGGTCTCATCTGTGTCCTTCTTACCCAGCTTCTCTTTCCACAGCCCTGGACTGCCCGCCCAATAGCAAGTACTCCCTGTGTGCCAAGCAGTGCTCAGATTCCTGCCAGAAGGTATACTCTAACACACCCTGCCCAGAGCAGTGCATGGAGGTCTGCGAGTGTGACCCTGGTTACATCCTCAGTGGCTTTGATTGTGTGCCCCCATCTGAGTGTGGGTGCATCAGCTCCTCAGGGGACTACTTCAAGGTGAGCAGGTGGGGGGGCATCTCAGCTCTAAACTAGAAAAGACTTGCTCTGTGTTCCAAAACCTTCAGCAGACCCAGGTCAAGAGGCAAGGGGAGAGAAGGCCAGGGAAAAAGTCAGGATTTAGGGCTGGGATTAGGGAAATTCTGGCTTGGCTCTAATTTAGCCTTCCTCCCTACTTCCTCCCTCCCTTCCTTCCTTCCTTCCCTTCCACCCTCCCTTCCTCCCTTTTCTTGTTTTTTTGGAGGTAATGGGATTTGAACTCAGGGTTTACCACTTGAGCCATGTCTTCAGTCTACTTTTTTTGAGATAAGGTCTCACTTTATACCCGGCCAGCTTGTACTGTGATTCTCTTACTTATGCTTTCCATGTAGCTGGGATTACAGGTGTGTACCACCACTCCCAGCTTTTATTAGTACAGGTGAGATTTGGTGAACTTTTTGCCTGGGCTGGCCTCGAACTGTGATCCTTCTGATCTCTGTCTCATGAGTAGTTTAGGATTATAGGTTTGATCCACTGCACCTGGCTCTCTCTTTCTGTCTTTCTTTCACTGGGAATGGAACCCAGGGCCTTAAGCCTCCTAGGCAAGTTCCCTACCACTAAGCTACCGAGGCTCTCATAAATTCCCTTTCGCATTCTTCAGCCCAGTTTTTTTTTTTTTTTTAATGAGTACTGATGAGTACTGGGGTTTGAACTCAGGGCCTCCCACTTGCTAGGCAGGTGCTCTGCCACATCCCCAGGCCTCTTCTGCTTTAGTAATTTTCCATTGGGGTTTCATTTTTTGCCTTGGGCCAGCCTTGAACTGAGACCTTCCTACCTCCAATTCCCATGTAGCTGGGATTATAGATCTGCACCACTGCACCCAGCCATCTCTGGTCCTTTTTTACAGAGACTGAGATGGGGTTCCAGTACAGTTCTTTCCCACACTGCCTTGCAGAGCCTAAGATCCCTGTTCTGTCCACTCCCATTTTCCCAGCTGCCCCTGTCAGCTGTCACTTCACAAAATCATTTTGCTTACATGTTCTGTCCTCTGAACGTTTCTGTACTCTTTCCAAACTCTGTCTTCTCTCAACCAAGGGTCCCTTTCTCACTGAAGGACCTCAGTCCTTCCCTTGTCCATTTTCACCGTTCTTGGAGGCAGCATTTGAAGCCGGGCCCTTATCTGACACTTCTTCCTTCTTTCCTTTGCCTGGCCCCTTACTGAGACACATGAAAGGTACTGGTGTCCAGCAAAGCTCTCCACTATCAGATGTCCACCCAGCCTTCGTCTCCTGCAGCCCCTGTTCCAGGCTGAATTCCTGAATCTCTCAGTCCATGGCCTGTTGTAGCCTGTTTTCCCCCTCTGTGCTGGGGATGGAACTCAAGACTTTATACAGCCCTGGCCATGCTAGCCCTTTCTCCTCCTCCTCCCCTTCTTTCTCTTCCCCTTCCCCTTCCCCTTCTCCTCTCTCCTCCTACTCCTCCTCCTTCTTCTTTCTTCTTCCTTCTCCTCCTCCTTCCCATGCTAGCGCCTTTCTCCTCTTCTTCCTCTTCTCCTCCTCCTTTCTCCTCCTCCTTCTCCTCTCTACTCCTCCACCTTCTTTTTTTTTAGATTTTGAGACAAGGTATCACTGTGTAGCCCAAGCTAGCCTAGAACTTGTGATCCTCCCACTTCAGTCTCCTGATTACTGGGATTACAGGCAGGAACCACCACACTTGTCTCAATGTCAGACTTTTTCAGCTAAGCATGGAGCTTCAGGAAGACAGGATGTCCCCATGAGTAGACCAGCGATCACCATTGCAGTGGGCTCTTAGGTCAGACCCGGGAACAACTGCTTTTCCTTCCTTCCCTCAGATGGGGGAGCGGTGGTTCAAGCCAGGCTGCAAAGAGCTTTGTATCTGTGGACACAGCAACACATTTCAATGCCGGTCCTGGAGTTGTAGGGCCCTGGAGACCTGTGGCTGGCAGAATGGCATATATGGCTGCCATGCCCAAGGTGAGCCACCAGGGTGGAAGGTGAGCAGGGAGCTTCAAGTAAGGGCCTCACCAGGGAGCAGGGGCTCAACCATGGGTTGTGTGTCAGTCAGCTTTCTGATGTTGCAACAAAGTACCTGAGAGAGATCAACTTACAAAGAAAACTGGTTTACTTGAGCTCACAGTTTGGGAGGTTTTAGTCTATGGTCAGTTGGCCTGGTTGCTTTGGAGCCTGTGGGGAGGCAGCAAGTCATGGTGGGGTCATGTGGCAGAGCAAAAAGCTGCTCATCTTATGACTGGGACATGGAGGAGAGAAAGAAGAAGAGGCCGGGGTCCCATCATTAGGCTTAAAGGTTTCACTACCTTCCAAAAGCACGAAGCTGGGGACCAAGCCTCTAAGGCGTGGACCATCTGGGGACATTCCAGATCCAAACTATACTTTGTTTTCTTTGTGGTTGTTGGTGGGAATCAAATGTAGGGCCTTGTGCATGGTAGGCAAACACTCTACCACAAAGCCACACCCCCAGCCTCCAGATCCAAACTATAAAGGCTGTTAGGTGGTTGGCCAGAACAGAAGCAGCATCTTCAGGGCTCCGAGAGTGAAGTTGGGGAGGACCACCCCTCTCCTTGACATCCCTGAGTCAACCACACTTCCTAGAAGTCCACCAAGTCCAAGCACAGGCATGAGCACCATAGCAATGCAAGTTCGCCAAGATGGCAGCCCTGCGTCAAGGTTTCCAGGGCATGGAACAATAAGTCTCCAAAGCCTGTCCTCTCCTCCCCAGGTGGCGCCACCTGCACTGCCTTCGGGGACCCCCACTACATGACATTCGATGGCGCCCTGCATCACTTTATGGGTACCTGCAATTATATCCTGACCCAACCTTGCTGGCATAGTTTCATAGAGCAGTACTTTGTCGTGAGTGCCACCAATGAGATTCGTGGCGGGAAACTGGAGGTCTCCTACGTCAATGCTGTCCACGTGTGGGTCTATGACCTCAGAATCTCATTGCTCAAAGACCACAAGGTCGTGGTGGGTGCCTCCCTCTGCCTCCTGGACCCCATGTCACCCAGCCTGCTTAGTCCTTCTTCCATACTCCTCCTCGTCTGCATGCACCCCTATCATATCATCATCGTTTTCTTTTCTTTTTGGTGGGACTGGGATTTGAGCTCTGGGCTTTGAGCTTGCAAAACGGGCACAATACTGCTTGAGCTATGCCTCCAGTCCATTTTGCTCTATTTATTTTGGAGATGGGGGTCTTGTGAACTATTTGCATTGGCAGGCCTCGAACTGTGATCCTCCTGATCTCAGCCTCCCAAGTAACTAGGATTACAGGTGTGAGCCACTAGTGCTCAGCACCTCTCAGCTTCTTAGAGCCCCTTAAGGGTACCTCTCTTTCTCAGACCCCATTGTACCTCTGGGAAACACCCATTTCCCTCTCCTGGTCTCAGGCTTTTGGGCTCCATTTGGTCTTTATCCCAAGTTCCTGACTCTGCCTACTGTGTCCCCCCAAAAAAAACCCGTCTCTGCAGCTGGACGACCATCGGGTGGCCATACCTTTGTGGATTTCAAAGGGCCGGGTGGCCATTAGGCTTAGTGGCTCCTTTATCCTGCTCTACACCAACTTTGGGCTTCAGGTTCGCTACGATGGGAAGCACCTGGTGGAGGTGACAGTACCTTCCTCCTATTCCGGCAGGCTCTGCGGGCTGTGTGGTGAGCTCCCTGGGAACCTTTGGGGAAAGCCAGGACACTCCCATCTCCATTAGGTGTCCTCAGAACTTGTCAACTGATGAATCGGTTGAGGATACACTGGGCATGCAGAGTAGGTGTTCATGAAAGTCAGAGATGAAGCAGAGAGGACATCGAGTCAGGGCCCTCTTCTAGTCGGGAAGGTGGTGGCCCCAGAGCTGGGTGTGTCCACAGCTCCTCTGTCACTCCTGTCATCCTCCCACCTCTGCAGGGAACTATAACAATAACAGCTTTGATGACAACTTGCTCCCCGATAAAAGCCCCACAACCAACTCTACCCAGCTGGGGGCAGCCTGGAAGACACTTGAACTTTCTGAGCATGGGTGAGCTGGGGACTGGGACTGGGAGCTGTTCAGGAAATGCTGGACCTGGGGAAGAGCCTCAGGGAAAAGCCTGGAGGTGTCTGGGCCCTGTGTGTCTCCAATCTGTTTTGTGCTCTCTTCATGTGTCCCTTGGCCAAGAAACTGGCCAAGTCTCTTCTTCATTCTGAGGTTGAAGTTTTGAAAAGTTGTTCCAAATTCCCATGTCTATGCCAGCACTGCTTTGGAAGTCCCTCCTGACATCTAGCCTTATTCCTTTCTGCTGAATCTCTTAGCCATCATAGTTGAGGACACTATTTTCTTTTCTTCCCCTGTTCCCCTCCTCCCCTCCTTTTTATTTATTTATTTATTTAGCCTCTCTACACTTGCTTCGATTTGCAGAAAGTTTCCTCAGCCCTAAATTTCTATTTTTTTGGTGGGGGGGTTTACTGAGGTTTGAACTCAGGGACTTCACCTTGAGCCACTCCACCAGCCCTTTTTTGTGAGTTTTTTCGACATAAGGTCTTACAAACTATTTGCCTCCTGAGTAGGTAGGATTACAGGCATGAGCCACTGGAATGGCTCTAAATTTCTATTCTTTTCTCCTATTCTCACTCAGCTGCTTCCCTGCAGCTGGCAAGCCCTCCAGCTGCAATGAAAACAATGTAGCAGTGGCCTGGAATAAGACCTGTGAGCTCTTGATAAACCCTGAGGGTAAGACACATTTCTAGCTGGCCTTTTGTCCTCTCCTCAGGTCAGGAGACCAAAGAGGGACACTGATTAGGGAAGGAGAAAGAGCGAGACCAGAAGCAGATTTTGGAAAGTCAGGGAGGCCACTGGAAAAACAGAGTGGCCAGTGGTCGCCTTCTTGGGTGTTATGATTGAACAGCCCTCCTTGGTGTCTCAGGTAGTAGGTTCTCAACTGGGTGCCAGTGGCTCACACCTATGATCCTAGCTACTCGGGAGGCTGAGATTAGGAGGATTGTGGTTGGAGGCCAGCCTGGGCAAATAGTTCATGAGACCCCCCAAAAAAATCAGCAGAGCAAAATGGACTAGAGGTGTGGCTCAGGCGGTAGAGTGCCTGCTTTGCAAGCTCAAAGGCCTGAGTTCAAACCCCAGTTCCACTCCCTAATTCCAAAAAAATCAAGTACTAGATTCCCAATAAATCCAGGTTTTGATGGAAGTAGAAGTCCCTGCTCCCATCTCAGGCTCACCCTCCTCTTCCCCACCTGTCTCGTCCTCCAGGGCCTTTCTCCACTTGCCACCAAGCTGTGTCCCCGCAAGCCAGCTTTGCCAGTTGTGTGCGTGGCCAGTGTGGGACCCAGGGCAAAGTCTCGGCCCTGTGCCGCTCCCTGCAGGCTTATGCATCCCTATGCGCCCGGGCCGGCAAAGTCGTTACCTGGCGTAATGCCACCTTCTGCCGTAAGTGATCCCATCGCCCACTCCTGCAGGCTGGAGGGAGCCCCAGAATCCCGTCCTTTCCACCTCAGCCTGTAGGACAACCGCACCCACAAGGGCCTTCCTCCCTTCCCCACTCTGTCTTCTCCATCCCTCCTGCTTGTCTCCATGCCTTCACGAGCCTCCTCCATCTGATTCTCGTCTCATCAGAAAGTTCTGCCTTGCCCAGGTGCCAGTGGCCCATGCCTGTAATCCTAGCTACTCAAGAGTCACAGATCAGGAGAATCAAGGTTCAAAACCAGCTCTGGGAAAATAGTTTGTGAGACCCTATCTTGAAAATACCCAACACGAAAACAGAGTTGGCAGAATAGTTCAAGTGGTAGAGCACCTGCTTAGCAAGTGTGCCTGAGGCCCTGAGTTCAAACCCCAGTATGACCAAAAAATAAATAAATAAAAAGTTCTGCCTTGGTTAGGTGCTGGTGGCTCACACCTGTAATCCTAGATACTTGGGAGGCTGAGATGGGGGAGGATCGAGGTTTGAGACCACCTGGACCAAATAGTTTGAGGGACCACCATCTTCAAAATAACCAGACCAAAATGGACTAAAGGTGTGGCTTAAGTGGTACAGTGCCTATCTAGCAAGCATGAGGCCCTGAGATCAAATCCCAGTACTTCAAAAGAAGAAAGAAAGAAAGGAAGAAATGTTGTTAGAGGCAAAATGTGGGAACAATTCGAATTCCTGTCAACTGAAGAATGAATAAGCAGAGTGTGGTCTATCCATAAATGGGATATTATTCAGCCATAAAAAGGAATGAAGTACTGACATCCACTGAAACATGAATGAACCTTGAAAGCATTATGCTAAGTGAAGAAGTCAATCATAAAAGATCATATGTGATAACATTTGTATGAAATGCCCAAAACCATTTTAGTCATTTTTAAAAATTATTTATTTATTTTCAGTACTGGAGTTTGAACTCAGGGCCTCACACTTGCTAGAGAGGTATCCTACCACTTGAGCCACTATGTCAGCTCTTTTTTTGTGATGGGTTTTTTTGAGGGGGTCTCAAGGACTATTTGCCTGGGTTGACCTTAAACTGTGATCCTCCTAAGTAGCTGGGATTATAAGTGTGAACCACTGGTACCAGGCTGTTTTGATGTTTTGTTTTTGTTTGGTGAGACTGGGGTTTGAACTCAGGGCTTCGAATTTGCCAACAAGGTGCTGTGCCACTTGAGCCACATGTCCAATCCATTTTAGCCATTTTTAAGAGGACAATTTGGTGACAGGAAAGACATTCACATTGTTCTGCCTCCATCACTGTCATCCATCTCATAAGCTTTTTTTTCCCCCCCAGCTGAAACCCGGACCCCATTCAATCCCATCCCCCCTCCTCCCAGTACCCAGCAACCACTACCATTCTCCTTTCTGTCTCTATGAATTCAATTCTTGTAGGAACTTTATATAGAGGAATCAGCACTAAAAGTGTGGCTCAAGTGCTAGAGTGACTACTTTGCAAGTCTGAAGGACTGAGTTCAAACCCAAGTCCTGCCAGAAAAAAAAGGGTAAAAGAGTAAGAGGAATCATACAGTATGTGTCTTTTAGTGATTGGCTTATTTCACTTGGCATCATGTACTCGAGGTTCATCCATGTCGTAGCATGTTTTACGATATGCTTTTGTGTGTGTGTGTGTCTGTGATGCTGAGGTCTCAGGGCCTCTGCAGGTGCTCTACCACTTGAGCAAGGCCTTCAGCCCTTTTTGCTATAGTTATTTTTTCAAATAGGGTCTCTCTTTTGCTCAGGGCCAACCCTAAGACCTTGATCCTCCTATCTCTGCCTCCCAAGTAGCTGGGATTACAGGTGTGAACCACTACTCCCAGATTATTTGGGGTCTTAGTAACTTTCTGCCTGGGTAGGCTTTGAACCATAATCCTCCTCTGCCTCTAAAGTAGCTTAGATTACAGGCATAGGCCATCAGTTCCCTGAAATCCTTCCTTTTTAAGGCTGAATAATAGTCCATTATAGGGCCAGGCATGGTGGCCCACACCTGTAATCCCAGCACTCAAGAGGGTAAAACAGGAGAATCTTGAGTTTGAGGCTAGTCTCAAACCCAAGAGGAATAAAAACAAAACCAAAACCAAAAACAAAAAAACCCCACCCTGGAAGAAATGGTCAAAACACAAAACAAATTTAAAAAGTGGGAGAGGTGGCTCATACCTTAATTCCAGCTACTTGGGAGGCAGAGGTAGGAGGATCCAGGTCTGAGGCAGGCCTTGGGCAAACCAGATGCTATCTAAAAAATTAACTAAAGAAAACAACAACAACAAAAAAGGACTGGGACTGTGGCTCAAGGGACAGAGCATTTGCCTACTCTGCTCTTCCTAACATTCGTGTTCTTCTTAGCTCTGAGGTGCCCACCCAACAGCGCCTACAGCCCCTGTGCCAGCCCCTGCCCGGACACCTGCCTTTCCCTGAGAATCCCAAAGGAATGTCCGGCAGCTGTGCCCTGTGGGGAGGGCTGTGAATGCCAGAAAGAGCACATCCTGAGTGGAACTTCCTGCGTGCCCCTCAGCCAGTGTGGCTGCGTGGACTTCGACGGCTTTTACCACCTGGTGAGCAGCCCGACTGAGGGCAGAGGGGATACCCTGTCCCTTCCAGTTCCACCAGTAGCAAGGAGCAGGCAGGACGAGCCCTGGCCCGGCAGCAGTAGGGCACCGAGCCCATAAAGATGGAGGACAGGCTAGGGCTGGGGGAAGAGGACAAGGGCCAGATGTAAAGCTATGTCATCAGGCATCAACCAAGCGCAAGGAGCCTGGGAGGGTGGCGTGGGGGGGGGCGGGGCCATCTCCCCGCTGCCGTGTTCCTATTGGCTCTGCTGATCCCTGTGCCCGCAGGTAGGGGAGCGCTGGTACACAGAGAGTAACTGCACCGTTCAGTGCACCTGCTCGGTCTATAACAACATCACCTGCAGCCACACCGCCTGCAGGGCTAACCAGAGGTGCTCATCCCGGGATGGGCTCGTGCGCTGCCGGACTTCAGGTAGGAGACCCCTTAGCTAACAAGAGCAGCTCGCCAACGCCCCCCACGCTCTCTCTCTGACTGTCCCCTGTAGCACTCAGGTGTGAATTTGCAGCCTTGCTATACCAAACTGCTTCTGGCAAGATAGATGGCCCCCTGCTGCCTGGAAGACCATCTTAGGGTTTACCCACTGTGTTAGTAGCCATTTTCTGTTGTTTCTAGTGTTCCAGAATCCGGGTAATTTATACGGAAAGCGATTGGGAGTGAGGGGTGAATTGAACCCAGGGCCTTGAGCTTGCTAGGCAGGCCCTTTACTACTTGAGCCATACCCCCAGCCCAGAAATATACTCTCTGGCCCTGGGGGTGGGGTGGGGATGAAATTCAGGGTCTCATGAATGCTGGGCAAGTGCTCTACCACTGAGCTACATCCTCAGCCCAGGAAATGCATCCCTTATAGTTCCAGAGGCTGGAAAGTCCAAGGTTGAGGGCTGCTTATGGTGAGGGTCTTCTTGCAAGTGGTACGTGGCATGCCCAAACAGGCTTTTATACAGATCCACTCTCACGATAACTAACCCACTTCCTCAACTCGTTAGTCCATTAACCTGTGAAAAACCCATTCATGAGGGTGGAACCCTTGTGAGCCAATCACTTCCCAAAGACTCCCCCAAATACCATTAACACAAAACTTTGGGGATGCAATTTGCAATGCATGGATTTTTTTTTTTTGTGATACTGGGGCTTGAATTCAAGGTCTACACCTTGAGCCATTCCACTAGCCTTTTTTCGTGATTTTTTTTTTTTCAAGGTAGGGTCTCACAGAACTACTTGCCCAGGCTGGCTTCAAACCGTGATCCTCCTGATCTCTGCTTCCTGAGTAGCTAGGATTACAGGTGTGAGCCACCAGCACCTGGTACCAATGCATGGATCCTGAGGGAAGAACATTCAAACTGTAGCATCCATCCTTCTCTTGGAGTGGCCAGGAACTTATATGGATATTATAAACCCTTTGCTGGCCAAATCACACCCTGTTTGCCCTCAAGTCTCACTCCATCAGGTTCTTGGGCCTTGATTCTTTTCCAGAACATGGTCCTCCTTTTTCCTTCTTGGGTCTCTCTGACCTTTACCAGGCAGACAGAATGCAGAATCACCTCCCTAGGGACCTGTTCTTGCCATAGGTGGGACAATCCCTCAGCTACCTCTCTCCCCTCAGGTGTGGGAATGTGCTATGTCTCAGGGAATTCCCAGTACATGAGCTTCGATGGCAGAGGTCATCCTATTTTGGGGATGTGCACTCATGTCCTGGTAAAAGTATGCCACCCCAGCATGCAGCTGCCTTTCTTCAAGATTAGTGCCAAGAGTGAGAGTCATGAAGAGAAGACCAAGACTTTCCGCCTCCACCGGGTCTACATAGATGTCTTCAATTTCCATATCATCCTGCAAAAGGAACACCAAGTGCTGGTGAGTTGGACACATTGACCAGGCCAGAAGAGTAGAAACAAGTTCTGAGGAAAGGACTCTGATCTTTCTTCTTACTCATGCATGTCACTTCCTCTTCAGATCAATGGCAAGCTGGTCACACTTCCTGCCACCTCCCAGATCCAGGGAGTCAGCATCACTTCCAGAAGCATACACACCATCGTCAATATTTGGAAAGAAGTAGAAGTCAAATTTGATGGTAGTCATTTCTTACAGATCAAAGTCCCTGCGTCCTATTACGGAAAGGTGAAGAAAATGCCTAGCTCTCTTGGTGTGGGAGGTGTCCTTTGGGGGACAGAGCAGCATCCCCCATCCCACTATACCAAGAGGTCACTTCCCAGTTCAGAGGACTGCTGAGTGCCTCTTTCCATGTAGGGTAGACAAAAGTACTCCAAAGCAAAATGCCCTAGTTGTGGTGGTGCACACCTGTAATCCTGGTAGTTAAGAGGTTGAGGCAGGAAGATTTCAAGTTACAGGCCAGCCTGGGCTACATAGTTGGACCCTGTCAAAAGAGAGAGAGAGAAGTGAGGAAGGAGGGAAGAACGGAAAGAGGGGAAAGGAAGGAGAAAGAGGGAAAGAAAAAAAAGAAACCCAGTTCAATTCCAGTACCTTAGGAGAGAGGGGAGAGAGAGGAGAGAAGAGAAAGGGAAGGAAAGGATGAGAAAAAGAGAAACTGAGTTCAGTCCCAGTACCAAAGGAGAGAAGGAAAGAGGGAGGGAAGAAAGGAAGGAAGGGAAGAAAGGAAGGAAGGGAAGAAAGGAAGGAAGGAAGGAAGGAAAGAGAAAGGAAAAGGAAGGAAGGAAGGAGGAAAGGAAGGAAAAGAAAGGAAGAAAGAGAGAGAAAGGCCATCCCCCCACTGAAAACTCCCTCTGTCCACCCAGGTCTGTGGAGTGTGCGGGAACTTCAATGGAGATAAAGATGATGAATTAACCATGTCCAGTGATGAACTAGCCCAGGATGAACAGAAGTTCATGAACAGCTGGAAAGATAAGGCCATCGACCCAAAGTAATGGTCCCCTAAGACAGTCTACCTTTTCATAACAACTGTCTGGGAAGCCAGGCTGCAGGGCACAGCTGAGATAGGAAGACCAGAAAGTTCCTTCATGCGTGTGCTTGTGGGGGGTGAGGCAGGGAGAGACGGGGACTCTGGTTCTCAGAGTTGCTGGAACCTACTTGGGGAAATGTCAGTCTTCCTTCCTTCACTTAGAAACTTGAAAGGAGATGGAGGCCGCACGGAAGGTTGGAACCATTGTACCAGCTTCCCTGTGAAGCAAGAGGGGTCTCAAGTCCCTTAGAATTTTCTCAGGATCACAGATGGGGCAGTGGCAGTCCCTCTGCTGATCCCTTTCTTTTCCCTTCCCAGTTGCCAAAAGATCAGAGATGAGGAGAACACCCAAAACAGTCATCTGGGGGTGGTGAATGCAAAGTGCAGGCTGGCCGACCTTCTAAGTGCTCGGGAAACTTGCCAAACAGCCTTCCAGACTCCTGCCTGGGCCCAGTGTGTGTCTCATGTGATTCTCAAGCCCTTCCTCCTGGACTGTACAAACAACCTCTGTGAGTTTGGAGGACTCAACCATGCCCTCTGCGAGGCTCTGCAGGCCTTTGAGGCTGCCTGTCGGAACCAGGGACTCAAGCCCCCAGTCTGGAGGAATAGCAGCTTCTGTCGTGAGTGTCCCCTGCAGTCACCCCCAAGCCATTCCCAAACCCTGTTTCTCTCCATATATCTCTCAAGATCCCTCATGCTTCCTTCTGGTTGTTCTGGACCTATTTCTGACCTTGTGGTCTCTCTGATGAGGGCTATTTGCAATTCTTTTTTTTTTCCAGCAGTACTGGGATTTGAACTCAGGGCCTCATGTCTGCTAGGCAGGTGCTCTACCACTTGAGCCACTCCCCCAGCCCTACAGTTCCCTCTTAACCAATGTCCCTCACACCAGGACAGTCCTTGATTCTTCCATCTACTCATTTAACGCCATTTTTCTTTTTCTTTTGTTCTTTGGTGGGGTTGGGGTCTGAACTCAGGGCTTTGTGTTTGCAAAGCAGGTGCTCTACTCTTTGAGCCACACCTCCAGTCCATTTGTGTTCTGGTTGTTTTGGAAATGAGGTCTTGAGAACTACTTGCCTGGACTGGCATCCAACCTCAATCCTTCCAATCTTAGCCTCCCATGTAGGTAGGATTACAGGCAGGAGCCACTAGCATCTGGCCTAATGCCATTTTTCTAAAGGAGATGTAACTACTCTCCTATATGACTGTTACCTTGAAGATTAAGTCCAAGCTCCGTAAGTGATATCTGAGGTCCTGTAGGCTGTCCTAGCTTCCCTGTCCCAGATCTGCCTCCTGCTTGTATATCAACTTGCACCAAATGATATAATTCCCTACACAGGACTTGCATTTTTTATGGTAGTATTGGGATTTGAACTCGGGGCCTTGCATTTGGTAGGCAGGTGCTCTACCACTTCAGTTATGTCCCAAGTTCCTTTTTTATTTTTATCTTTTGGTGATATCGAGGTTCGAAATCAGGGCCTTGCACTTGCTATGCAAGCACTGTACCACTTGAGCCCCACTTCCTGCTCCAGCCCTTTTTGTTTTAGTTTATTTTTCAAATGGGGTCTTGCTTTTGCCCAGGGCCTGCCTTGGACAGAGATCCTCCTATCTCTGGCTCCCTCATAGCTGGGATTATAAACATATACCACCATGCCAGCCCAGGCCTTGAATCTTCACACTCCTCACACTCCTCCCTGTGCCTGGAAAGCTCCTCCTTCTCCCTTCCTGGCAGACAACTGAGCACCTTCTGTAGCATTTCCTTTTAAAATAAAATTTTTAACTGATGTTATTCATCCCTGTAAAGGTGGATTTTAGAGGCTGGAGGAGCTCAGTGGTAGAGCTTACCTAGTGAGGCCCTCAGTTTGATACTGAGCACTGCAAAATATAAATAAATAAATACATATTTAAAAGGTGGCCTTTAGTATCTTCACAGAATTGTACAATCATCACTACTATCTAAGTTCAGAGCCTTTTAAAATTTAAAACAGGAATGTTTCATAGTTATAGTTATCCCTAGGTATCCACAAGGGATTTATTCATGCCAGGACCCCTGAGGATTGCAAAATCTGAGGATGCTCCAGTCCCCTGGATAAATGGCATACAACCAGGTGTGGTGGTACCTGCCTGTAATCCCAGCACTTGGGAGGCTGAGGCAGGAGGATCTCCAGTTTGAGACCAGCCTAGGCTACGTAGTGAAACCCTGACTGAAAAAGCCAAATAAGTGGAGTAGCAAAGTGGTAGAGCACCTGCCTAGCAAGCATGAGGCCCTGAGTTTAAACCCCAGTACTGCCAAGAAAAAAAGGCAAATAAGTAAATAAAGTGAAAAAGTCATAATATTTGCATAGAATCTACGCATGTGTTTAAATCACCTCTAGATGATTTATGAATACCTTAACACAATGCAATTGCTATGGAAATAGTTATCATATGTATTGCTTGGGGAATAATGACAAGGAAAAAATTCTGTACATGTTCTGTACAAATGCAGTTTTTTCTCCCAGAAAAATAGTTTAAGTCCGTGATTAGTTGAAAAAATAGATACAGAATCCATGGACATGGGGGGGCCAAATAAAATACATTCTCATGGCTCAAAAATAAGTTTCTTTTTGTAGTGCTGGGATCAAACCCAGGGCCTTGTGCATACTAGGCAAACACTCAACCACTGAGCTATGTCCCCAGCCCTATGTGGTTCAAAAACTATTAAAATATTAAACAATACCCAGTGAGACGTCTCCCCCATCCCCTGACCTTTATGTGTATGAAAATTCAGATTAGTAGTCCTTATTTCTGTTTTTCTTACAAACAGTACCTTACAAGATACAAGTTAAATTATTAACAGTACCGGGGATGTGGTTGGGGCCTCACCCTTGCTAGTCAGGGGCTCTATCACTTGAGCCACTCCACCAGCCTTTTTTTGTTCTGGGTATTTTTGAGATAGGGTCTCAAGAATTGTTTACCCAGGCTGGCCTCCAACCTTGATTCACCTGATCTCTGCCTCCTGAGTAGCTAGGATTACAGGCGTGAGCCACTGACGCCTGGCCAACTTTTTGTTATTTCAATCAGCCTTGCATTGACTAACCTTATGCATATACGGTTTTCCATGTGTGTGACTCCATCTGTAAAGATAAATTCATAGAAATGGAATTGTTTATGATAAACTGTGCATTTGTGCTTTTGAGAAATATTGCCAAATGACCTTGCAGAGGGGTTGAAGAATTTACACTCCCCGTATCATAGAAGAGTACCCGTTTCCTCAAAACCTCAGCATGCTGGGCCCAAGTGGCTCACAACTGTAATCCCAGCTACTCAGGAGGCAGAGATCAGGAGGATCAAGATTTGAGGTCAGCCCAGGCAAATAGTTCTCAAGACCCTCTCTTGATAAAACCATCACAAAAAAGGGCTGGTGGAGTGCCTCAAGGTGTAGACCCCGAGTTCAAACCCCAGTATCACACACACACACACACAAAAAGCCTCACAGCACACTGCTATTTTTGCCAATCTGCTAATTGAGAAATAATAAGTCTTAGGTGCATTTTTCTCATTATGAAATTTCTTTCAAATGTTTAAGAGCCAATTGAATTTCTCTTCCTGTAAATTATCTATTCATATCTACTTATCATTTTTCCACTGGGTTGTTAGACTTTATCAAATGATTTTATAGAAATCCTCTTTTTATGAAAAATAGACCTTCATTAGTGCTCTAAGTTTAACACATATTTTTCCAGTTCTTTCTTTGTTTTTTGGCAGTACTGGGGTTTGAACTCAGGGCCTCATGCTTGCTAGGCAGACATTCTACCACTTGAGCCACTCTGCCAGCCTCCAGTTTCTTTTTTTTTTTTTCTTTTTGACATCATTTAACTTTTTCTTTTTGCCACATAGGAAAAAAAATATCTTATGGGATTGAATATATTAAGCTTTGCTTTATGGCTTCTCCATGTTGGGCCATATTTACAAATGCTATTCCCACAGAAATTAAAAAAAAGAATTTGCCTGTATTTTGCTCCAGAATTTTATGGTCTCTGCTTTCCTTCCTTCCTTCCTTCCTTTTTTTTTTTTTTTTTGCAACAGGGTGTTACTATGTAGCCTAGGCAACCCTGGAACTCTCCATCCTCCTCCCTCAGCCTCCTGAGTGCTGGAATTACAGGTGTGTACCACCATACCTGGCTATGGTTTCTTTTTTTATATTTAAAATTTTGACCTAAGAGGATTTATCCTGATGTGTAGTATGAAATGTGAATCAATTTTTAAAAAATTTTTTCTTTCCTGAAGGCTAGCAAGTTGTTCCCTCATTATTAAATGACTAGTCTGTCTTTCCCTGACGGCTGAGATGCCACAATTTCTCATATGCTAAATTCTCACAGATATTTGGGTGTGTATCTGGGTTTTCTGTCCTGTTCCATTGACCCAGCTGTATCTGCACATGCCAGTAATGCAATGTTGGTAGGGGCTTTTCACTAAATACTGCTCTTTTTGAAAGTTTTCCTGGTGAGTTAGGCCTGTAATCCCAACACTCAGGAAGCTGAGGCAGTAAGATCATAAATTCAAGGCTAGCCTGAGAACTACATAGCTAGACCATGTCTCAAAACAAATAAACAAAATAAAGATAAAATTTTTCTTGGCCTTTTTTTTTTTTTTTTTTGTGGTGAGACTGGGGTTTGAACTCAGGGTTTTGCATTTGCAAAGCAGGTGCTCTACTGTTTGAGTCACACCTTCAGTCCATTTTGCTCTGGTTATTTTGGAGATGGGGTCTTGTGAACTATTTATCTGGGCTGACCTAGCACCATAGTTCTTCTGATCTCAGCCTCCCAACTAGTTAGGATTACAGGTGGGAGACACTAGTGCCTGGCATTCCTGGCCTTGCTACACACACACACACACACACACACACACACATATATATATATATATATATATATATATTTTTTTTTTTTTTTTTTTTGCAGTGCTGGGGCTTTAACTCGGGGCCTACACCTTGAGCCACTCCACCAGTCCTTTTTTGTGAGGGGTATTTTCAAGATAGGGTCTTGTGAACTATTTGCCCAGGCTGGCTTTGAACTGCAACCCTCCTGCTCTCTGCCTCCTGAGTAGCTTGGATTATAGGCGTGAGCCACCGGTGCCTGGCATTCCTAGCTTTTCTAGATTGCTTATATCTTCATTCAGCTTTAAAATCATCTTGTCCTATTCACATACACACACACACACACACACACACACAGGTCTATTTTATTGGAGTGAAATTAAATTAACTGAGGGAGAACTGACATGACCAGCATGTTACTAACTCTTCCTATCCCTGAACATGGTATATATTTCCATTAAAGGCCTTTCTTTTTTTTCTTTTTCTTTTTTATTAAGGCCTTTCTTAAACTTCCTGACAGAGTTAACACCTTCCTGCTCTGTGTCCCCATTACACCTGGTACTCACCTGTCTGTTGAACCCTTACCAAACACATCAAGGTCATGCAGCTGTTGCCGGCTGACCTTGATTGATCTCCTGGATCAATCTCCTGGAGAGAGACATTCCTATTGCTTTCTTTCCTCAGGGCCTGGCCCACAGACCATGCTCAGCAATGTTTACTGAATGAGTAAGGAAAGGGAGAAAAGCCCCAAGCCTGTTGATCATTCTTCCCTAACCTCTACTTCCTTTGACCCCCCTCTGGCCCTCTCCACTTACCCCAATCCCCTTCCACCCACAGCTCTGGAATGTCCAGCCCATCATAAGTACACCAACTGCCTTCCCACCTGCTCACCTTCCTGCTGGGACCTGGATGGCCGCTGTGAGGGTACCATAGTCAAAGTCCCCTCCACCTGTGCTGAGGGCTGCATCTGTCAGTCTGGTTATGTGCTGAAAGAGAACAAGTGTGTGCCCAAAAGTGAATGTGGCTGCAAAGATGCCCAGGGTGGCTTCATCCCTGTGAGTGGGAATAGAAATTGGGATTAGGGAGAAGGGGGAGGGCAAATACCTTGAGGATAGTGTTTTCTTCTTTTCTTGGTCTCTCTCAGCCTGGGTTGCTCTTGTCTCTATGACTGGCCCTGGGGTGTGAAGGCTGCTGGTAGTAGTACATGATTTGGATTTTGGATGTAAGGAATCCACACAGCTAGGACACAGCAAGGTACAGTAGAAAGAGCAGGGCTTTGGTGCAAGGTGACTTTGTTACATTGGTTTCTTCACCTGTAAAACGGGTTCAGTCCAATAGCACTTTCTTAACAATATACATGTAGGATGCACAAACAATGCTTTTTGGGAGTGGGGGATACAGGGTACCAAGATGTAAATGGGACTGTAACTACCTCCAACCAGGGCCAATTGATGTAACTGGATATCCATGGGGTGATTGGTTCCAGAACCCACCGATACCAGAATTCACCTTGTTCAAATCCCTTAGAAAAAAATGGCACATTATTTGCATAGAACCTGTATAGTCCTCTTATATGCTTTAAATTACCTCTGGGTGACTTATAATGCCTAATACAATGTAAATGTCATGTGAGTGTAATGACAGAATGTACAAGTTCAGTACAGATGAAATTGGTTTTGGTGGTGCTGGGGCTAGAACCCAGGGCCTCATGCATGCAAGGTAAACAGCTCTACAACTAAGCTACACCCCCCCAGCTTCAGACGCAATTTTATTTTCAAGTATTTTCCATCCATAGTTGGTTGAATATTGGTTGTGGAACCCACAGATAATATGGGTAACTGTGAACCTTCCAGGTAGGGGGCTTAGGCTGAAGGGGTGAGAAGAGAATGAGTCCTTCCTTCCTCACTCCCCTGCTCTTCTGGTGGTTTCTGCAGCTGGGAAAGACTTGGATCTCCAGTGGCTGTACCCAGAACTGTGCCTGCACGGGAGGAGCCATTCAGTGCCGGGCCTTCAGCTGCCCCAGTGGGTCCCACTGCCAGCAGGGTGAAAGTGACAGCAACAGCTGCGCCCCTGACAGTAAGGGAGCCACCTGGGAAGGTGGAGAGGGTGTGCTCCGTGACTGAAGGAGTCAGAGGCAGGGCACACAGGGACTTAGCCTGAGGAAGGGGATGAGTACAGGCATACAGGATGGGCAACTGTAGTCAGGAAACCTGACTACAAATTAGGGGCTCTCAGCTGGGCGCTAGTGGCTTACGCCTGTACTCCTAGCTAATTAGGAGGCAGAAACCAGGAGAATCACAGTTCAAAGCCAGCCCTAGGAAAATAGTTTACTAGACCCTATCTCAAAAAAAAAAAAAATCACCATAAAAAAAGGGCTGGTGGAGTGGCTCAAGGTGTAAGAGCACTTGCCTAGTAAGGATGAGCCCTGAGTTCAAATCCCAGTGCCCAAAAAAAATTAGCGTTCTCACCAACTCTGGCCATGTACAAGTTGATAATACCTTCTGGAACTCCCTACCATAAGGGCAAAAAGAAGGGGCAGTATGAGGAGATCCAGATTAAGATTTTGGAATTTTTTTTTTTTTTTGTGATGAAACTGGTGTTTGAATCCAGGCTTCTCACTTGCAAAGCAGGTGCTCTACCACTTATGCCATACCTCCAGTCCATTTGTTCTGGTTATTTTGGGGATGGGGGTCTCAAAAACTGTTTACCAGGCTGGCCTCCAACTGTGATCTTCCCAATCTCAACCTCTCATGTAGCTAGCATTATAGGCATGATTCACAGGGACCTGGCTCCAGATTAAGGTTTAATGGGGCCTAGAGAGGGGGAAAGTTGAAAATAAAGTATCTAGGGATCATGGGCCTAAGGAGGTGACAGAAGGCACCATGGTAGGGGGAGGATTCTGGGGACTCATAGCTGAGCAGAGTCCCTTCTCAGTATTTACCCTTTTTGGCAGAGTCGGAACAATGCACCGTCTTCGGGGACCCCTATTACCAAACATTTGACAGGGTCGGCTACCACTTCCAGGGCCGCATGACCTACATTCTCATAAAGACAGTGGACAATCTTCCCGATGGGGTGGAGCATCTGCTTGTGCAGGGACGCAACAAGCTGTACAGGCCCACGAGCCCAGCCTTGCACGAAGTGACCACCCTCGTCTATGGCTATAAAGTCCAACTCCAAAAGAATCTGGTGCTTATGGTTCGTAAGAGGCCGGCCAGTTTTGGAGGGTCGGGAGGCCAGCTGGGAAGCCCTGTGGAGCTGGTAAAGCCAGGGTGCCCTGCTCTTAGTGAGCACAGGCTGACTGTAGAAGTCAAAATCAGTGTCCTTTCATGGGGATGAGGGGAAGGGCAATGGGACTGAGTGAAAGACCAAGAAGGATTAGGGAAGAAAAAAAGAGGACAGCATAGGTGAAGGTGAAGCCCACACAGGAAAAGGACCAGGGGTGTCCACTGTGCTAATTTTTCACAAGGAAGGACCTGGGACTTCCACAGGAGTTGACCTTTGGGAGGACTCTGGCACTAGGGCGTAAGGAAGCTTCCGGGGGTGTACACTGAACGATGTCATGGAGAGGTAGGGAGATAAATATATACAGTAGACCCTGGGTATCTGTGGGTATAGTGTTCAAGGAGACTGCCTTTAAGGAAAAGCCATGAACACTCAGGATGCATAGAATTTTTTTTTAAAACACAAACATAACTCAGGATTGACTGAAAGATTCTCTGCCTCAATTGAACCACATACTGTGTGCATGGGGTTTTGTTTTTGACCAAGGTTGGTCAAAAACTTCGTATAAAGCCATGCACCAGTGGCTTGGACCTGTAATCCTCCAGAGGCAGAGATCAGGAGGATCGCTGCTCGAAGCCAGCCTGGACAAATAGTTTGTGAGACCCTATCTCAAAAAAACCCATCACAACACGGGTGGTGGAGTGGCTCGAGGGGTAGAGCGCCTACCTAGCAAACTCGAGGGCCAGAGTTCAAAACCCTAGTCCTGGAAAACAAAAACAAAAACAAAAACAAAACCCTAGTCCTGGAAAAAAAAACAAAAACAAAAAAACACAGGCTTACTATAAAGGCAAAGCCAGGCATGAGCAAGAAGAGCAGAGGGTCAGGTTCATCCTGTAGAAACTCTGCAGTTTCTGTCTTCCCTCTCTAGGTCAACAACCAGAAGATGGCCGTCCCCTACAGGCCCAATGAGCACCTGCGGGTCACTCTACGGGGTCAGCGGCTGTATCTGATCACTGACTTTCAGATGGTTGTTAGCTTTGACGGAAGGAATGACCTAGGTAACCAAGGGAGGGGAACAGAGAGCGGAAGGAACATTTCTAGGATGGAAGAGGGAAAACAGCTCAGACAGATCGTGGGGAGAGGAGATCTGCCTGGGGTGCAGTGGGGCCTCCTGCTTGACGGTGGAGACCCAGCAAAGAGTGGGGGCTCACTCCAGGGCACCCCTTCTTCCCACAGTGATCACCCTGCCAAGCATGTACGAGGGACTGGTACACGGCCTGTGTGGGAACTATGACAGGAACAGCATGAATGATTTCATGCTGCCCAATGGCGCACTCACCCGGGACCTCAATGTCTTTGGCAGCAGTTGGGAGGTGAAAACGGAGGACACCCTCCTTCGCTTCCCAAGGTGAGGGCTGGGGATCAGGGAAAATCAGTAACAGTCTCTGACCACAGTCCTCCAGTCCTCGGCACATCTCTTCTTCACATTCTGTCACTTTGACTCATCCTGACCATGGCGGCACCTGATCAATGGAAACTCCAGCCATTCTCTTAGCCTTTCTTCCTCCCCAAGTTCACCTCCCCCTTACCTGGCCCTTGGTTTCTCTACTCCAGGGCCCTACAAGAGGAGAAAGAGGGAGAGGAGGAAGAATCAGACACCATTCGGTCAGAATGCAGCCCAGAGCAACTGGCACTCATCAACAGCACCCAGGCCTGTAGCGTGCTGGTGGACCCCAAGGGCCCCTTTGCTGCCTGTCACCAGACTGTGGCCCCAGAATCCTTCCAGGAGTGAGTCAAGGGATCCAGGATGTTCAGGAATGGCCCAGGCACCTGCTCTGATCTTTCTCTAGATCTCTCCCCTAAGCCTCCTCCAGCTTTGCTTGGCTCACTTCCTCCTCCCTTTAGCCTTGTTTCGTTGTGCCTCTACCTCAACACTGCCTGATGTCTTCCTGTTCAGGGTTCCAGGCCCCATTCCTGCAGGGCTGAGTCTCCTTACCTTCCCCACTCTGACCCCTACTCTGACAACTTCCCTCTTCTGCCTACCCCTCCAACCCAGGCACTGTGTATCTGATATGTGTACTGGCCGGGACCCCAAAGAACAAGAGGAGCTGCGTTGCTGGGTCCTCAGTGGGTACGCCATCATTTGTCAAGAGGCAGGTGCCAGCCTGGCCAGCTGGCGGAACCACACCCACTGCGGTGAGGCGCTGCTCCTGCTGAGCAGCTGGCCCCAACCCCTCCACCATCCCACCCTCTGCTCTACTCCCAACACTGCCCTCACCATGGGTTTCCTGTCTTGGTTCCTCTGTCCCTCAATTCTCACCAAGTTCAAGGCAGCACATTTCCAACCTGACTCCTTCTCTGCCCTTTCCTGGGCGCCTATTCCCAGTCACCCCATCTCCTTCTCCTCCCTAATGCTCATCTTTGGCTCATTCATCTAGGTCCTTCAACATGGGCATATAAAGTCTTCAGATAAAGCCAGCCCACTTGTTCTGGCTTCCATGACTATAGGTGGTTCTGTGCTCTGTCCTCTTTGGCCCCATAGTCCTTGTCTCTGGCTGACCCCAAGCCTGACCAGCTCCTGACTATGCCCCTGTCCCCTCAGCCATGACATGTCCAGCCAATACCGTGTATCAGAGCTGCATGACGCCTTGTCCAAAGTCCTGTGCCAACCTCCTGGACCCCGAGGACTGTGAGGGCCCCTGTGTGGAAGGCTGTGCCAGCCTTCCTGGCTATATCTACAGCGGCACTCAGAGCCTCCCTATGACCCACTGTGGCTGCACTGCTGATGGTGTCTACTACCAGGTCTGGGAGGCAATGGGACGAGGGAGCTGAGGCACAGATAGCCATATTCAGGATGAAACCAGAATTTCTCGGCCCTTCCCCTTTTCCAGCTGGGTGACAGCTTCGTGACTGAGGATTGCTCCCAGCGCTGTACCTGTGCCAGCTCAGGGATGCTGTTGTGTGAACCCTTCAGCTGTAGAGCTGGGGAGACCTGCACCCTTGGCAACTTCACCCGAGGCTGCTTCCGAGGTGAGCCTGGACCCCTCTGGGCTCCAAGACCAAGGGTCAGCCCTCCTCGGTCCTCTGCCTGACACTCGTGTCATGCAAGACATGGTCTTGTGTCATGGTCCTCTGCGTGATGTCAGGAAGTCTGCCCCTCTTGTTTTAGGGAGGGACAAAGGAAAAGAACCTGTAGTTCTCTAAGCACCTATTACCGCACAGCCTGTCCCAGGCTCTTCTTTAAGTCCTTTCCTTGATGGCTTGCCACACCTGGTGGCAAGAATAGCACCCCTATTTTATGGGCATGGAAAATGAAGTTCCAAGAGGTTAAGCAATTTCCCAGAGCCCAGGCTAGCACAGGCTAGCCCAGGATTGCTGTGATGACCCCCAACAGGCCTCTCTGTCCTGTGAATGCTTCTCCTGGGATCCTCTTACACTGCCCCCCCTCTATCCCTGCAGAAAGTCCGTGTCTTCAGAATCCCTGTCACAATGATGGTCGGTGTAAGGAGCAGGGGGCCAGCTTCATCTGCGAGTGTGAACTCGGTTACGGGGGAAACCTCTGCACAGAGCCTCGGAATATCCCACTCCCTAAAGAGCCAGGTGATGGCACATCCCCCACTGACAGCTGACCCAGAATTATCCTATATACGTGATACTAACATGCATTATAGTGTCTATTATGAATACCTAGAATATATATCACAGATATATTATGGGCTGGAGGAGTGGCTCAAGAGGTAGAGCAGCTGCCTAGCAAAAACAAGGCCCTGAGTTCAAACCCTAGTACCACCAAAAAATATAGAGAGATTATACATACACTATAATATCAATTAATAGATATACTGTGTATATATTAATATATTGTTCCATGATACATATTACTTATAATGTGATATATATCACTACATTGTGAATATGTCATGTAACATGCTTGCATATTATAAATAATGAAATATTATATAACACGATATATCATTGTTACAGATTTTATATTATACGTATTATATTTATACAATGCATTAGATTGTATCTATAGCACGTTATAATATAATTATATCATACAATATTTTAATGTAATGTTAATATGCTAACATAATATATTATAGTATAAAATAGTGTATTATGCTATAATGTATGATGGGGTCATGTCACAATATGATTCCTAGTGATTTAGCAGGACAAGGACCCTTAATTAGTCCCTGTGGACACATCCTACCCACATTCTTTGGAATCTTCTCTCTGAACCCCCAGATCCGCACTGCTGACCTCTCATGTGCCTCACCTTGTTTCTCCCCCACACCTCTCCAGCCCCTTTTACTATGTTTCCCTACCCCAAGCTCCAATTCTGTTGCAGAAGCCTGAGGTTCTCCAAGTCCATCCTGACTTAGACTGTGAGGTAGTTTAATTAAGGCACATTCCAGAACTCCTCAAGATTTGGGTTCAGTAGGTCTGGAGTGGGCCCACACACCTGCCTTCCCAGCAAGCAGCTGGGTGCTGACTGATGGAAGCTTTTTTTGAAAAACGGTGGCTAAGGTAACATCTGGGACTCCAGGGACCATCTGGATGAAAGTCCCCTTATGAGAGTTGTGACTGAAAGCAGAAAGAGCTGATGGGGGCCCGGTGCCAGTGGCTCACACCTGTAATCCTAACTACTCAAGAGGCAGAGATCGGGAGGATGGCGGTTCGAAGGCAGACCTGGGCAAATAGTTCAAGAGACCTCCACCTCAAAAAAAAAAAAAAAAAAAACAAAAAAAGGCCGGCAGAATAACTGAAGCAGAAAGAATGCCTGCCTAGCAGGCATGAGGCCCTGCATTCAACCCCAGTGTCGCCCAAAAAAAAAAAAGAAGAAAGGGCTGGTGGGGGTGGGCAGCAACACCAGAGGTGACAGTCTCCTGGGATAGGCCAACCACACCCAAAGATTTAGGGGGATGAGGTCCCCCATGAGCGGGGACAAACAAGGACCAAAAGAGAGCGCCACCTCCTGCTCACCTCCGTCCCATGTCCCATCCGCTAACCCTTTTGTGCCCCATGTCCCTGTTTCTTTTCCCACCCCTAGAAGCATTTAACCTTGTGGCCATCCTGCTGGGAATGCTGGTGTCTGTGGTGGTCATAGTGCCAGTGTTGACCAGAGAGTGTGTCTCCAGGATAAGAAGGAGGAGATGGTAAGTCCTGGCCGGGGTGTGAGGAGGGGGTGCATAAACAGGGCAGAGGGGCCTACGTCTTCACCACCAACTGCATCTCGTTCCTTACTGCTTCCTAGGGACAAAATATGGAGGCGGAACAGAAGCCAGCTGGCAAACCAAGGTGAGCGCCAACCCTCAGGCCAGGACTTGTGTGACCTGGAGTTGAGTCAGCCTCCAACACAGGCTTTCTCCATTTCTCCTCAGACATTGTTCCAGAGTCTGCCTTCAAAGCTGCTCCATTTTGATTAATCCTCAAGGAGATAAAATAACTTTTTTTGATTATGAATTTATTTTTGTGATTAGGTTGGAAGCAGTCGAGTCTGTGAGGTGGCTCTTGGGGGGAAAAAGAGCAGGGAAACAGGCATCTGAGGGCTGGGTGCTGTGCAAAATATCCAGAGGGAAGTCAGGTGCTGGTAGCTCATGCCTGTAATCCCAGCTACTCAGGAAGCAGAGATCAGGAGGATCGTGGTTCAAAGCCAGCCCCAGGCAAATAGTTCACAAGACCCTATCTCGAAAAAACCCATCACAAAAAAGGACTGGTAGAGTGGCTCAAGTGATAAGAGCACCTGCTTAGCAAACATGAGGCCCTGAGTTCAAATCCCAGTAGAGCAGATATGTCCAGGAAGATGCAATTTAGGTCTCAGAAGGTGAGAGGAATGTCCCTTAGAAGCCACAGGTGAGTGGCCCATTGGTCCCTGGAACTATCGATGGGACAGAGAGGAGGAAGGAAGGGTGGGAATTAGCCCCAGGCTCCTGGCTTCTGGGATACAGTAGAAAAGCATTCACTTGTCTGTGGCCTCTGAGGCTCCCACCAAGGAAAGTGAAAGACCTGAGAAGTTACATGTTTTATTTTATTTTATTTTTTGTGGCACTTCCTAACTGTTCTACCACTTGAGCCAGGCCTCCAGCCCTTATTTGCTTTAGTTATTTTTCAAGTAGGGTCTTACATGTTTCTCTGGGACCAGCCCGGACCTTGATCCTCCTACCAATGACCTCCCTATAGCTGGGACCACAGGCGTCAAGATGGGGGTCTTGCTAACCCCCCCATCCCCACCCTTCCACCCCACAGGGCTCCCAGTCTCTGCCCCGAGGGTAGCTGGGATTATAGGTATGAACCACCTTGCATGGCTGGTTGCTGCTTTTTCTAAGGAGCCTGGGGGTTGCCCTGGGAACTTAGTGTGGGCTTACTGTTTGGGAGGAGTTCTGACACCACCCAGGCAGAAGAGTCCCATCCAGCCTAGCCTGACACCAAGGTACATGGTTTCCACTCAGAGGGGTTCAGGCCTCACACCAGGCAGCTCCTGGCTTGGGAGACGGAGCCATCCTCTCTGGGTTCTAGAGAGGAAAGGAAGGTGTCCACCTGGGTAAAAGAGAATTGAGATGTAGGACCTCAGGGGCAGGAGACTTGGGTCTGGGAAGAAGCAGTCCTTGGATGGTGGTATTACTGTGTGCTTAATCCTCTGAGAAAACCAGCCCCAGGGGCCTCCCTGAAGAAAGCCACACCCAACCTGGGTGGGTAAAGGACCCAGGAAAGGAGTGCCCCCAAAAGCCAGCCTTCCCTCCCTTAGTCAGGGGGTCTACACAGGAAGATCTAAGGCAGCCTCCAAAACTGGGCTGGCCATCAGACCCCTGTTGTCACCTGCCCTGAGCCCAGCTCCACACCTGGTCTTCATCTTTGTGTCTGCTCTCTCTGCCCAGCTCCTTCAACCCTTATTCCCCTCAGAGTTAGTTCTTGAAGGCCACCTTATCTAGCCAGGATGTCTACTTGGCAGGGGAAGGGGCGGCTAGGCTGGCCTCCTCCAAATATACCCCATCTTTCCCTGGCAGCACTGAGTCCCATCCCAGCTTGTGGGATGCAAAAACATAGGCACAGTATCATCAAGGGAAAGGGAGTAGAGTGTTAGGTTCCCCATAAGAGGCCTATAGAGTGAGGAAAATAGACAGGATCACTGCCTTTGGCTCCCAAGGCTGGGAGATTCCGCACTGACCCCCAGAGGCCAACAGGGGGCAACTGAGAGACAGAAGTAGGAAAGTCAGGCTGGCCAGTCAGGACCTGCCCCTGCAGGTGTTCCAGTGGGAGGGCAGACCTGGGCAAAAAGGAGGAAAGAGAAAACAGCAAGAGGGAAAATGGGGTGTTGGAGTGGGGGACTGACCTCCTCTTCCTGTCTGGAAGGGAGCTGTTGGGAGCAGGCACACTTGGGTGGTTCCTCCTCCCTTCCCAGGAGGCTGGAGAACCTGCCAGAGCAGCATGGTGAATAGGGAAATTGTCCACCGGCTGCACACTCACGTGGGGCCCCTTCAGCCACTCCCAGCTCTCCCCCTCCCCCACAGTCAATGCCAGCCCCAGCTGTCAACATCTGGCCCACATCTGTCTCCTTCATCTGACTGGACTCCCATCCCCACCTCCCTTTCAGGGGGCTGTAGGGCAGAGCTGAGTTGCAGACTTGTCCCCCCGCCCCCCCCCCCAGGAGTAATGAACCAGGGGAGGAGTGGGGGGGGTCAGCCCCACCCCGGAGGTGCCCAGGGCTCTTGGCAGAGCCAACTGGAGCCGTTAGCAGCAGCTGGTAATGACTCATCCCCATGGCCCCCACCCCACCACCTCAAACACACCCTAAGGCTAGAACCAAGCACCCAGCCCCCAACAGACTGTCATATGACCCTCAGGACCCAGATCTCACACTCCCCAGAACTCTAATCCCATCCAGCTCCCAATCACTCCCAGAACCGGGACACATCCCATTTTCTTTTATTTATACAAAAAAAAAAAGTTTCTTTTTAAATATAATTTAAGAGCCCCTCCAAGCACCGGTGTCTGTCTCTCGTTTCCACCACAGCCCTCCTGCCCCTTTTCATCCCCCACCACACCCCCTGCACTCATTCATGGACATAGCTTGGGGGCACTTGGGGGACAGAAAACTGTCTTGGGTGGTGGCATGATCAAGGCACTGTTTTGGAAAGACACACTGATGGATCCCTGTTTCAACTTGGGCACAGGAGGAGACAGTGAAACAGGTACCCTCCAGCACAAAAAAAATTAGGACAAGGATGGTAGAAAAACAAAAACAAAAAGGGAGGGAGGAAAAAATAAGACCAAAAACCAAAAAAATATATAAAATTCAGAACCTTCAATATGAAGGCAGCAGATAGGGGAGGGGCATTTACAAGGAAAAGGTGATTGTGTTTGGTGGCAACAGCAGCAAGTTGGGACATCAAAATCCAATGATTGTGTCACTGGGCCATGATATCCCTTCCTGCCTCCTGGGACAGGGCTCCACTCCAGAGCTGGCAGGCTGGCCACCCTCTCTCTTTGGTCTGCAGGGGCATGCCCTGTCAAGGTGAGGGGAGCGCCATGGGGAGGCGGGGAGATCACAGGCACTTCCTTTCCCTCTGGTCACACCCAATCCTGAGGGAAAAGCATCCTCACCCTGGGTCTGGGGTTCCCTGCCTGGAATAAGGCAGGATGTGATTTCCACACTCCCATATGGCACAACCCCCAAATCTCTCCAAGTTGCCAACTCCACACCCCCACGGGTTCAAAGTGCAATCCAGTGGGGAGCAGGGATGGGGGCCTCTGTGAGTCCCCACCCAGCTCTGCCCCAGGAAGAAGAGGAGGCTGTGATCCCTGGGGTGGCTAGGTCCTGGAGGTCAGTACTGCGATGCTGGTCCTCCTGTCCCACTCGGGGCTCCTGGCTTGGCTTGGGACTTCATATGCTGGACACTGGCCAAAATTTTCTTCTGGTGTCCCGCCAGAGTAACTCCAATTCGGAGCAGGTCCCTATGGAAGAACAGAGGACTCTGTGAGGCACAGGACTCCCGGGGCTGCCTGCCTTGTCTGGGTTTCAGGACTATCAGCTAATCAAAAAGGCTTATGACATCAATAGTTGCCGGGCAGTTTCCTGAGGGTTTAAGTTCCAGAGTCGTCCTGCGCAGCTGCAATAGGGGGTGGGGCAAGCTTGGGGGCCCAGGGGGCGGATCTTCAGGAGGTGGGATCAGAGGAAGGGAAAAGCCTGCACAATGAGGTTGGGGGAAGGGACTGCACAGATTAAAGGGGAAATAAGTGAAAAGGAAAGGGCAAAAGAGAAAAAGGAAGGGAGGGAAAGAGAGACAAACTGGGAGAGTAAAGGAAAACCCCTGGCACAGGGTTGAAGGGACCTGCCTCACTAGGGACCCTCTGATTGCAATTTCTCTTCCTTCTATTACTATTATTGAAACCTATATAAGCAGAGGCCTTGAGAGAGAAATGGAAAGGCTGGAAGGAGGAATACCCGAGAGTCTCCCAACCCAGGGAGAACAGTTATTTGGGAGGCTATGGAATCATAAAGGATTTTCAAAACCCAGTCCCTTCTCTCCTTTTATGGGTGGAAGAGAACCAGAGTTGACACGTTAATGTGAGCAGTGGCTCTGGAATGCAAATAGATGCACAAGGATAGATACAGGCTGAGAGAGGGAAGGGAGATGACCGAGGGCTGAGAAGGCTCCAGGAGCCTAGATGGGCAGCTAGCTGGCCTCAAAGGGGCCCTGGTTCTCAACTCCAGCATCATTTACTGCTTGGGGGGCTGCTCTGGGCATAGCAGTGAGTGACTTACTTAGCACTGCTCCACTGAGATTATGACTAGCTCTGGAAGTTGACCCAAGAGGTGGTCTATGGTGACCCTGATGGCCTGACCACTGGGCCCCCACCTGCTCTGACAGCTCTTCCCTCCACTTACTCAGCAGAGATCTGGCTGACAAGCTCAAAAGAGCTGAATCCAGCTGCTGCAAAACTTTCTTCATATCTTCCCATCTTGATGGCTCGAAGCCACTCGCCCACAGAGCCAAAAGCTGAGTAGTGAGGCTGCCGTTGGTCCAGGAGTGGGTGTGAGGCCCTGGTGTTGGGGGGAGAAGTAAGAATAGGGAGGAATACTGAGTCCCAGACTGGAGTCAGGGGAAGTTGAGCCCAGCCTTGGAAAGGCCAAAGAGACCATCTCATCTACCACCAAAGGATGGATACTTCTGGGCCAGTTGGGAAGGTGGGAGGCTCTTGGGTAGTGAAAGAGTGAGGGATGGAGGGCCTGTTCTCTGGTGTCCTCACCCGCCATTCTCCCTGGCCACGATTTTGAGGCTGGCAGGATTCCGGATCATCTTGTCAAGGGCGCTGACCACCTGGGGGAAGCGGGGCCGTGCGTTCCGGTCCTTCTGCCAACAGTCCAGCATGAGCTGGTGGAGGGAGGTGGGGCAATCTGGGGGTGGGGGAAGCCGGTAGTCTTGTTCAATGGCGTTGATCACCTAGAATGAAGGGATGAAGCACTGGGTGAAGCTGTCCAGAGAAAACAAAGAGGACAAAGGGGTCCCAAGGAAATGGCAACTTAGCTGGTGAAAGGATGGGAGCCACAGCCTCCCCACTTCCAAATCACAGATCTAGGAGTCCCTTCTGGCTGGGTCATGGCTGGACACCCCAGCAGCTCTTGGATTATGATCTGTACTATAACATCCCAACCCTGCCCTCCATCTTTCCATCCTACTATGATCCAAATACACTGTATCAAACTCTTGGGTGCAAAAATCACTTCTTTGAGCCACCCCCACCATCCCAAGGACCTACCATTGATGAGTCTGGGAAGCCCATCCCCCCACCCTGTATTCCAGGTGAAAGGATACCCAGGTATGACAACAGGACACTTACATCCTGATTGCTCATGTCCCAGTACGGCCGTTCCCCAAATGACATCACCTCCCACATCACAATCCCATAGCTCCAAGCGTCGCTGGCAGATGTGAACTTCCGAAAAGCAATTGCTTCGGGAGCTGTCCATCGGATAGGAATTTTTCCTCCCTGCCGAAACAGGCCAAAAAAGTAAATCCAGGGGCTCCTCTCTTCTGGGACTTTGTTTCCCACTCCCCCAGCTCTGGTTTCCTTCCTTTTTGGCAGTACTAGGGTTTGAACTCAGGGCTCAAGCTTGCTAGGCAGGAGCTCTTACCATTTGAGCCACGAAAGCCGCTCTACCAGCCTGTTTTTTCTGCTGAGTTTTTTCAAGATAGGGTCTCTTGAAGTATTTGCCAGGGGCTGGCTTTGAACCATGATCTTCCTGATCCCTGCCTCCTAAGTAGCTCGGATTATAGGTGTGAGCCACTGGCATCTGGCTGATTTCCTTTCTTTCTGTGACCCAAACCCCCAACTCCTCAACTGTTTTCCTAGACACCAGAAGTCAGTCCCCCTTCAGTCTGGTCCTCTCCCTGGACCAGAGCTGCCAATCCCTGGCCTCCTGCCTTTCTAACCCACCCTCCTGACACGGGCCTGAGAACCCAGCTCGTACTCCTGCCCTCTGTCTCACCAGAGAGCTTGTGTAGGTGGGATCCGAAGAGTTCTCCTCCAAGAATCGGGAAAGGCCAAAGTCTGAGACCTTGCAGACCAGGTTGCTGTTGACCAGGATGTTGCGGGCAGCCAGGTCTCGGTGGACATAGCTCATCTCGGCAAGGTACCGCATGCCTGAGGCAATGCCTCGCAGCATGCCCACCAACTGGATGACAGTGAACTGCCCATCGTTCAGCTGGAGAGAGGACAAGGAAGAGGGGCTTGGTTAGGACAGCCCACCCATCATTCCCCTTCCTTTCTACTTCCTACCGTGGCACCTGTCACTTGCAAACCTATCAATCAATTCACCTGTACAGAAGCCCGCCAACTTCCCTTCCTTGTTCTTACCCACAGCTCTCTGAGCTCTTATGATAACATCCTAGCACAATGCTTACCATTGTTCCTTTTTCAAAGCTGTGCATTCAGTTTCTCAATTGGATTACAAGATGATTCTTTTTCTTCTATTTAACCTCGTCCAGTACTTTACACTCAGAAAAAAACTCAACCAGTCTGGCATGCATGGCCTATAATCCCAGTTACTTGAGAGTTCAAGACCAGCCTGGGCCAGTTAGTGAGACTCTATCTCAAAAATAAAATAAAATGGCAGAAACAAACAAAAAGAGGTGGGGAAGTGTGACTTGAGTGGTAGAGTGTGAGGTCAGGGTTCAATACCCACTACCACCAAAAAAATATACTTTTAATCTAACATGCTTCTTGATTTGACAACCAGAATTTAGCCAATTAGAAGTGTGCCCTGAGCTACCTGTTTACAGTGGAAATATCTTTGCACTGAACTAGCAGTTTTTGGTTTTTTTTTTTTTCCGGGTGGGACTGGAGTTTGAACACGCAAAGCAGGAGCTCTAGTGCTTGAGCCATATCTCCAGTCCATTTTGCTCTAGTTATTTTGGAGTTAGGGTCTCTTAAACTATTTGCCTGGGCTGTCCTCGAACTGTGATCCTCCTGATCTTTGCCTCCTGGATAGGAGGATAGCTAGGACTACAGGTGTGAACCACTGGCACCTAACTGCAATCTTATTTGGCCCTCTTGAACCAACTGTGTTTGATTTTGTAATAAGGAACTTAGGTATACGAAGCCAAAGCTGAGATCTAATGCCCAACCTTGACCTTTCCAGAGATTGCTCTCACAAGAAAATCAAACAGGCACAGAGTTCACTGATCCCATCTTCTGGCTTTGGTTAGAGTACTGAATCATGAATGTAGTGTGCAAAAACCAAATTCTAAATCCATCCTCCAAACCTGCACCTGCCCTTGGCATCCCACTGGGGTTCATGGAAACACCACCTGGACAGTGGAGACCCCAGTGTCTTCTCCACTGCCCAAATAACTACACCAGCTTTCGAGTTTTTTTTTGGGCAGCACTGAGGTTTGAACTCAGGGCCTCATGCTTGCTAGGTAGGCACTCTTACCACTTGAACCACTCTGACAGCCCTACAACTGCTTTTTTATGGACTTTTGGCTTCCATATCAGTTCCTAAGCACAGACAAAGGGACTGTCTTCAGTCATCTCCCTCTCCTGCCCAAATCTCTCCAAAGGCTTCCCCCTCACACCTGTCTCAAGATGTACCGTCACTCCTCTGTTCACCTGACTCAAGCACATTGGTCTTTCTGGCTTTTTTGTTTGATGGTTTTGTGACACTGGGCCTCGTGCATGAGTTTTATCACTTGAGCCATGACCCCCCACCCTTTTATCGGAATTTTCTTTGAAAGCTAGGGTCTTAATAAAGTTACCCCGGCTGGACTCACTCCAGATCCTGCCTCCAGCTCCCAAGCAGCTGCGGTTACTGGTATGCACTGCTACACCCAGCTAAGCTGTTTCTTCTTTCTTTGGAGCAGTGCTTGGGTTTGAGACCAGGCACACAACACCACACCCAGCTGTTTTCCACTGAGATAAGGTCTTGCAAACTTTTTTTGTCTTGGCTGTCCTGGAATGGTGATCTTCCCAATCTCAGCCTCTTGTATACCTTGGCATGACAGGAGCACACCACCATGCCTAGCTATTGGTTGAGATGGGGTCTCAAGAGCTATTTACCCGGGCTGGTCTTGAGCCAAAATCCTCTGATCTCAGATTCCCAAGTAGCTAGGATTACAGGCATGAGCCTCCGGTGTCTGGCTTAGCCTTTTTGTTTCTCAGACATGCGCTAGGTCTCTATACTTGGCCTCAAACACACTTTTTTGAATTTCACAACTGATTCTTTCTCATCTATCCAAGTGTCATATCTTCTCCCATCTTCCTCCTCCTGTTTCTAACATAGGACCTTTGTCTGGACCCAATGTCAAAGCATAGATTCCTAGGAGGGGTCAGGCTGTCCTCTAGCCACTCCAGAGTCTGTTCTAACACCATTTATGGTGGGAATGAGAGTGGGTGTCCCTTGATGTGACCCATGTGAAGTATACAGATATCCCAGCCACAAACATTCATTTCCAACTTAACAGAACATTGGACAGAACTTTGCTATAGGAAATATAGAGAAACAAGCTAAATGTCCCCCACAAGGAAGAAGCCAGAAATCTGGCCATTCAGAGGAGCAAGGGGTCAGGCACCTCAACATGTCAATGTGATGACGAACTCTCCAAGACATGAGAGTCTAAGCCAGGAGCTGATGGTTCACACCTGTAATCTTAGCTACTTGGGAGGCTGAGATTGGAAGGATCCAGGTTCGAGACCAGCCCAGGCAAATAGTTCTCGAGACCCCCCCATTTCCAAAATAACCAAAGCAAAATGGACTGGAGGTGTGGCTCAAGCATCAGAGCACCTGCTTTGCAAGTGCAAAGCCCTGAGTTCAGACTTCAGTCTTCCCAAAGGAAAGAAATTTAGAGAGGCTTAAAAAACAAAACACCAAAAGACAGCTAGGTGCAATGCCTGGTCATGAACTGGATCTGAGTTTGGATAAACCACTAGGATATCTGAGAAGTAACTAGGTAAACATGAATATCAACGAAGTATTGGATGGTACTAAGGATCGTAATTATGTTAAATGCAATGTTACTTTACTGTGCAGGAAAATAATATTTTTTTCTTTTTTAAAAGAAAAGAATGTGGTGGCTTATGCCTGTAATCCCAGCTACTTTGGAGACTGAGATCTAGAGGATCAAGATTGGAGGCCAGCCTGGGCAAAAAGTTAGCAGGATACATTTCAACCATTAAGCTGGGTGTGGTGATATGTGTCTGTCATCCTAGCTACAAAGAAAGTGGATCGAGGTCCAGGCCAGCCAGCCAGCCCAGGCAAAAAAACACAAGACCCTATTTGAAAAATAACTAGAGACACTCAGTAAATATTTGTGAAAAGAAGAAATGTCATTCCTCTCAGCTGGATGGGTCAGCTGGCCCCACAGAGAGGATAAAGGAAGGGCTAGTCTCAAGTCCTTTCCCAAATGAAAAACTAAGGGAAGGGACACAGAGTGTGGCTGAGGGAGAGAGCTTACAGCTAAGGTGGGCTCCATTCTGTCCTGGGTTCTTTTTTTGAGACTGCCTTGCTATGTAGCCCAGGCTGGCCTTGAACTCGAGATCCTCCTGCCTCAGCCCCTTGAGTGTCAGACTGCAGATGTGTGCACTGCTATGTCTGGCTTTGTCCTGGGTTCTGAGCCCAACTGGCCCTACTTCTTGACTCCCCCTGGGAATTTGGGCAGATGTGAACCCAAGTGGGGTGGCTCACCCGAAGGAAGGAGTCCAGAGCACCATTCTCCATGAACTCTGTGAGGATCATGACAGGAACACTGTTGGTGACCACGCCCTCCAGGCGGATGATGTTGGGGTGTTCGAACTGACCCATGATGGAGGCCTCACTCAGGAACTCACGCCGCTGCCTCTCCGTATAACCACCTTTCAGGGTCTTAATGGCCACACAACTCTCCTTCTTCCCCGGGGCCTTCAGTCGCCCCCGGCACACCTCACCAAACTCACCTTCAACAAGGACAAGAAGGGTCAGCTCTCTTTTACGCTAGAGTGGCCCTGGCTCCCCTTCTGCCTCACCTGCTCCTTCTCAGGCACCCACACGTCCTCTTACCTGCACCGATCACTTCTTCAATCTTGACATAGGAGACATCAATCTCTTTGGCAAATTCCCTCACTGCCTCGTTAGGGTCTTCGTAAGTGAAGGGGTCAATGTAGACCTTAGTACCTGAGGAGTCACACAGGGTCCCATTAGCCAAGAACTGGCTTCTACTGAACTCAAGACGTCCTGACTCTTGGCTCACAGGGCCTGTATTTCTGTTAGGGCAGGGTAGGCCTGCTTACCGTGACCAATGAGGTACTGTCCATGTTTATCTGAGCACTCCGCTTCCCTCCCACTGCTCTGCTTCCTATAGCCAAAGAGAAAGAAGCAAGAGGTAAACTGAGTCATGCATCTTCGTAGAACAACATAGGAAAGGAAGAACAGGAGCCAGCAAATGAAAACAGCACAGTGAGGCAGGCAGCATGCCATGGAGCATACAGACAGGCAGACATCCATACTGGGCTTGGATTCAGAGGCCTTACCTGAGGCAGAGAACAGCGATGACAACAACCACCAGGACCAGCACCACGCCCACAACCGCTGTGCCTGCAATCAAGGCCAGCTGCTCCCGCCAGCTCTCACTCTCTGGGGGAGAAGAGGACACTAGTCAGGAAAACCCATGGTCCCTGCAGCCTGGGCCCCAGCCTTGAGCAATAAACTGAGATCTCCTGAAAACAGGCCCCAGCCCAGTGTGACAGGCAGAGGACTGGAGTGGGCTTCAGACTGTTCTCCATGGCCCAAGAACTCCTCTGAAGTCCCTTAGGACAAGGGAGGAAGTTTCGCAACCTTATTACTGCCAAACCACTTTTGTTTTATGATAAATATTGGTAGGGGGAAAGGGGGGAAAGAGAAAAGAAGGAAGGAAGTTGGAAGGAAGGAGGAAAGGAAGAAAAAGAAAGAAGGGAGGGAGGGAGAGAGGGAAGGAGGGAGGGAGGGAAAAGGAAGGAAGGAAGGAAAGAAAGAAAAAGAAAGAAAGGCTGGCCACCCATGGCTCACACCTGTAATCCTAGCTACTCAAAAGGCAGAGATCAGGAAGAGTGCAGTTCAAAGCCAGCCAGTTCAAGAGATCCTATCTTGAAAGTACCTAACTACTCAAAAAGGGCTGATGGAGTAGCTCAAGGTGCAGGCCTTGAGTTCAAACCCCAGAATCAAAAACAAACAAAAAAACCAAAACAAAGTAGAAACAGCCCAAATGTCCACGAATGAATGAATGAAAAAGGAGAAAAGTCCAGTTACAAAAGACCACACGTAGGCTGAGATCAGAGGATCAAAGTTTGAGGACTGCCATGAAATACTAAATTCAAACCCCAGTCACACCCAAAAAAAAAAAAAAAAAGAAAGGCCATACATTGTATGGTCTTATTTATATGAACTATTCAGAGGAGGCAAATCATTCAAGGCAGAAAGGAAATTAGTGTTTGCCAGGGTTGGAGGGCAATGGGAAGATAGGGAGTGATGGTCTCTTTTCAAGCTGCTAAAAAAATGTTCCAAACTGAATTATGGCGATGGTTGCAAAAGTCTGTGAATATATTAAGAGCCACCGAGTTGTACACTTCAGTAAACAAATCGTATGGCATACGAATTACATCTCAATAAAGCTGTTTAAGATAAAAATACTACCAAGTTGCTGAGTGGCAGAGCACCTGCCTAGCAAGCACAAAGCCCTGAGTTTAAACCCCAGTACCAACGAAACGAAAAACAAAAAATAAAACAAATAAACAAAAACTCATGCCACGGAAGAAAAAACAGTTTAGGGTTTGGGGACATTGCTTAGTGGTAGAGAGCTTGTCAAGCATTGTGTGTAAGGCCCTGGGTTTGACCCCTATTGGAGTTTTTTTTAAAAAAAGAAAAGCTGACATGGTGACGCACACCTGTAATGCTAGCTACTTAGGAAGCAGAGACAGGAAGGAGGACCACAAGTTCAAGGCTAGCTTGAGCAAAGTTAGCAGTGAGACCCTGTCTCAAGACCAAAGTATAAACAAAAGGAGTTGTGGAGAGGGGTAGCCTTAAGTGGTAGAGTGCTTTCCTTACACATGCAAGACCCTGACTCAGTCTCCCGTATAGCAAAAAAAAAAAGTTTAGAAAACCACTGGTCCAGCATATTAAAAGTAGTATGGGTTACTTCATTTTATCCTTGAAGCTCTGTAGTAAAGGAAGGCCTCTTGATTTTTCCATCTGGTTGGAAGAGCGAGCAGGGTCAAATTGCTGCTATAAAGGTCACAGAGCTGGTAAGCCACCAAGCTGACTTTACACTTTACACCCAGCTGTTGGATGTTACTTCCTGTTTTTTTTTTTTTTTTTTGCAGTAGTAGGGTTTGAACTCAGGGCCTACATCTTGAACCACTTCACCAGCCTTTTTTTCTGAAGGGTTTTCCAAGTTAGGGTCTCAAAACATTTGCTTGGGTTGGCTTCAAACTGTGATCCTCCTGATCCCTGTAGCTAGGATTACAGGCGTGAGCCTCCCGCGCCTGACTAGGATGTGATTTCTACACCCTACACTCTCTTCACGAACCATTCCTTGTGGCTTAAAGAGGGAAATGAGGGTGTGACTCTGTGGGTAGCAGGGGCAAGGCCTCCCATCGGGTAGGGACAGCAGCAGCTCCCCGTCTCCGCCCAGCTCCCCAGGCTCACCATCCAGCTGGGTCTGACTGTGATGTTCCTGACCAAAGGGGCCGTATCCAGCCTCTGAGCGTGCCCGAACCTGAACCAGGTAGCTGGCTCCCCGCTTCAGCCCTCGAAGCTCTGCACGGTTTTCTGATGTTTTCAGGAATCGTACACTGCTTGGACCCTCCGCACCCTACCCAGAAAGAGGAAGAGAAAGCCTGTAAAACAGAACCCCAGTTTGTGCTATTCTTTGTCCCTCCCCCAGACCCATGCACCCTTGTCCTCATGCCATCTTGATCCTGCGTGTGGCAGGTGAGGTCTTTGAGTTGTTTAAGGTGGGCTCTGTGCTGTGTGTTTTTGCATTTACTACATAGTTGAATCCTTGCAGCAATTCTGTGTGATCAATACTATTATAACTATTTTATAGATGAGGATACTGACGCTCAGAGAGGCCAAGGGGCTGGCCCAAGGTCACACAGCTAATACATAGTTGACCTGGAATTTAAATACCCACCAAATGCCTGACCCAAGGTCAACCTTCCCTTCCCCTCCAGCACCACCAGGACTTGGCCTTACCTTTTCGTGATACTTGACTTCATAGTCCAACACAGCCCCACTGGGTGCTCGGGGAACAGCCCATGCTAGGCTCAAGCTGCTGGGTGATGACCGTGTCACACGAATGTCAGAGACTGCAGGTGGCACTGTAAAAGAGGCCAGTGGGGTCCTGATGCACAGTATCTATTGCTGTGCTAGCTACACCTAGCTAGGTCCTCCAACTGATTCAAGAATTTCTTTGGAGCAGGGCACTGGTGGGTGGCTCATACCTATAATTCTAGTTATTCAGGAGACAGAGATCAGAAGGATCTCAATTTGAGGCCAGCCTGGGCAAATAGTTCTCAAGACCCCCGTCTCCAAAATAACCAGAGCAAAATGGATTGGAGGTGTGGTAGAAGAGTACCTGCTTTATACATGCAAAGCCCTGAGTTCAAACCCCAGCGCCACCACCACCCAAAAAAAAAAAATTTTTTTGACTTTCTCCCCACGTGCCCAGCCTATCCACATCCCTTGCTGGTCTTTCCCATAGACAACTGTCCTATCAGACCACATACTGTCCCCAGTCCCCCAATCTCACCCTCACGGTCGGTGGTGACATTGACAGGCTCAAATGGGACAGGCCCTGTGGCTAAGGAAGACACACCATTCAAGGCAGTGACCTCAAAGGTATAGGTGAAATCAGGACGCAGCCCTCGAATTGCCACCCATGGCTCCACCAAGTCCCGAGGGCCAGGGTCGAAGGTCAGGTCTCCCCCACAAGGCATGCAGGAGCCCCCAGGACGGCACTCTCGGCAACGCAGAGCGTAGGTGAGGTCATCTCGGCCCCCAGACTCAAGTGGGGCGCTCCACTCCAGGCGCAGGGAGGAGCCATTCAAATGGGGAACCACACTTCGTGGAGCAGAGGGAGGGGCTGCAGGAAACAAGAGAGTCAGTCAGGGTGGGAGGTGGCGGCTGGGGGACACGGGCAGCCACACTGACCTCAGGTCACCTTGGATATGGCAAGGGCCAAGAGGAGCAAATCCAGGAAGGATGGGGGCTGTGATGGAAGGGGTCCAACCCAGAAGCCTCCCTGATGAACTGTACCTGGTCACCCATCACTTACTGGTGCAGGGTGCACCCCGGGGGTCTGCTCGGGCCCGGTAGTACCCGATACGGCACTGGCAGACAGGTGATCCGATGGTATTAGAGTGGCTGTTGGCTGGGCATGGCTGGCAGGACCCCTCCCCTGCCTGGGGCTTGAAGGTACCCTGGCCACAGGCTGAGAGAGAGAAAAGAGAGAGAGTGTGTATATTTGTTCATCAGAACTATGCACCAGCTGGGAACTAGTGGCTCATGCTTGTAATCCTAGCTACTTTGGAGGCTGAGATTGGGAGGATCAAGGTTTAAGGCCAGCCCAGGCAAATAGTTCCAGCGATCCCATCTCCAAAATAACCAAAGTAAAATGAACTGGATGTGTAGCTCAAGCAGTAGAGCACCTGTTTTGCAAGTGCAAAGCCCTGAGTTCAAACCCCAGTCCCACCAAAAAAAAAAAAAAAAAAAAAAAAACCCAAAAATTATGCACCAAAAACATCCACCTGTTTCTGAGGTTGCATGCAGCGCTAAGGCGGAATGGAGGAAGGATCTGATAAACCCTGCCTCTAAGAAGAGAAAGGGAGGTAAACACCTGGGCTTATGCCTGTAATCCTAGCTACTCAGGAGGCAGAGATCAGGAGGACTATGGTTTGAAGCCAGCCCCATGCAAATGGTTCAAGAGACCCTATCTCCAAAAAAACTTCTCAAAAAAAAAAGAAGGGCTGGCAAATTGGCTCAAGTGGTAACAGCACCTGCTAGCAAGCATGAGGGCCTGAGTTCAAACCTCAGTACTGCCAGAAAACAAAAAAAAAGAGAAAAGGGGGGTCTCCTTCCAGAAGCATCCTATTCTATTGTTTTACCACCTTGAGCTTGGCAATCTGGTGAAGCCTTCAGACCCTGGCTCAGAATAACGATTTCAAATGCACATCACAAAATACAGAGGATAACCAAGGAAATCAGTTAAGCTAAAACACAATGATCAAAGTATTAAGAAAACAAGTTTGCAATGGAGCACCATGCACATTTCTCTGTGACAAGATACAAGCCAAGCAGGGTGCAGGCCTATAATCCCAGCACTTGGGAGGCTGAGGCAAGAGGACTGTGAGTTGGAAGACAGCCTGAGCTACACAGTTAAAACCCTGTCTCCAAAAACCCAGAAAACAGAAACAAAAAGTCAGGTGCTGGTGGCTGTAATCCTAACTTCTTGGGAGGATGAGATCAGTAAGATCTTGGTTTGAGGCCAGCCTGGGCAAATAGTTCATGAGACCCCCATCTTCAAAATAACCAAAGCAAAAATAGACAAGTTCAACCCAGTCCTACCAAAATAAAAAAAGAGGCCCTAGAGAAAGTATGAGAGTAAGATGGAGAGTAAGTAAATCGGAGGAAAGCCAGAATGAACAAGTATGGGGGCCATGTCAGCATGTTCTTGTCCTGAGCATAACAAGCATGAGGCCCTGAGTTCAAACCCTAGCTCGGGCAAAAAAAAAAAAAAAAAAAAAAGTGAGTCCAAAGGTGGGGAGTAGGTGCCCCTTCCTCCCCCCACAGGCAAGCTTCATAGGAAAGCTCCAGCTCACCTTGGCACTTCATGTTCCCCTCAACGGCCTCGAATCCTGGGGCACATCTGCAGCCGGTGACTGGCTGCTCAGCCCACTGGCCATCTTCCCGGCAGTACAGGCTGGGGCTGGGACCAGGGGCAGGAACGGCGTTGGCCACACAGCTTCCTGCCACGGGTACCACAAGCTCCCGAGGCACAGTTTCTGGGAAGTAGGTCAGGTTCATGATCTTCTGGGGGCACTTCTTATAGAAGAGGTGCAGGGACAGTAGAGCCATGCAGGCACCCTGGTCCTGGAAAGCCAGGTAGAAGCCAGCCTTGCTGAGTGGACCCAGGCGCAATGTCTTGACATTCACCTTCCCGGTTGCCTCGGCCCCAGGGCGCTTCCGTGTCAGATGCTCAGCAGCCACTGTGTCCACCTGTCAGATGAATTTAGACTCACCAGCACTGTCCACTTCCCTCTGGAGTGTAGACTGTCTTCTTCCCAGCTCCCCCTCTGCACTGACCAACTTGGTTCTTGTTCCAGAACTTTCCACCTTCCTAATAGCTCTCCTGCAGGCCTCACAGCTGTCCATTAATTCTTGCTGAGTTCTTACAATGTGTCCAGCCTCTGTCCTGCCCTTTCCCAGTCATTCATTTGTCCTACAAACATTTATGGATACCTACACCATGCCAGGACCTGACTTCAAAGCCAAGGAGATAAAAAAAAGGATGAACCACAGAGAAATGACACGCCTTAGAACAGAGTGGTGCAGAGCCCAGAACAAGAAGAAGCAGTCAACCAAGGTGGCCAAGGTGAGATCTGGGAACTGGAATTTAAAAAACAAGTAAGGGGCTGGATGTCTGTAATCCTAGCTATGTGGGAGGCTGATAGCAGGAAGATGTCAGTTCAAGGCCAGTCCAGGCCTCAACACTCATCTTCAAAATAATCAGAGCAAAATGGACTGATTTTGGCTCTCTACTACTTGTGTGGCTCAAGTGATAGAGAGCCAGCTTTGCAAGCTCAAAGCCCTGAGTTCAAACCCCAGTCCTGCAAATAAATAAATAAATAAATAGGAGCTTGGTAGAAGAGCCAGAGAGAAGGCACCAGGGGGAAGCATCAGCTGATACACAGATCCAGCACTATAGAAGGGCTCCATGTGGTCAGAGAATGGGAGGAGTACAATATGGCTGCAGCACAGTGGGGTAGGGTGACCAAGATGATGGGAGAAGCAGCCTGAGACCTGGACCTCCCTGTGCAGGAAAGGCAGCCCACCTGTCTTCCACCCACACAGAATTCAACCTTCTTCCCTCCCCAGACTTAAGCCTGCTGCTTCCAGCCTCAAGAGCCCCGCCTCACTCTAAGCCATGGGCTGGCAGCTGGAAGCCAGCACCTTGGCCATGGCCATGGTGCAACTGAGTGCCTAGGTACCTTGATGTAGGGGTTCTCCATCCAAGCTGGCGTATGTGCCGTGGCAGTGTCAGCTTCGCTCTCGTAGTAGAAGACAGTGAAGGTCTCCTTGCAGGAGCGGCCAGCCCGAGGCAGGGACAGGCACTCCAGCATGGTGAAACGCAGTGTGGCATACACGTGCACTGCGCCTCGCCTAGGGACCCAGCCGGTGCGCAGCCAGTGGGCCTGGCCGGGGGCGCGCTGCAGGTCACACACCTCGTAAGTGCGCACGCTGTGCTGCTCCTCGTCCAGGCCGCTCAGCTCCTCCCACTGTGCGGAGAAGTGTGTCAGTCTGGGGGTTCTGCAGGAGCTAGGGGACCACTCAGAAGAACACCTGCTCAGGGCACTTGTATCTAGAGCAGGATGGCACAGGAGTACTTCAGGTGCCCCCACCATCCTCCTTCCTGCTTCTCCCGTGGACCCCAAATCCCAGGTCCAGCTCTTACCTGCCCCTCCACCTGAGGGTATGTCACCCACTTCAGGTCTGCAGTTTCCAATTTTGTGTTGAGCAGGGTGTCTGAGACACAGAGAGAGAGACAAGTCAGCACCTGGGAGGGAGGGAATGGGGGACCAGGAAGACCAGATCTCTGGAAACTCAGAACTGGTGGAGAGGGAAAACCCTGCCTTGTGCACCCGCCTCTGATTTCATCCTCTTGTTCTGAGTGCCAACCCCACCCTCAACAGCTGGCAGGTACTGAGCTGCCCTCAGGACATCCAGGTCTAGGCCTCCCTGAGTGGCTGTGTCCTAGAGGAGGAATGGTACCAGTGCTGGAAGAAAAAGGTCCATGTTGGGGAAGTCTTAAGAGCCCTGCTCTGGCCTTGACCCCACATAGGCCAGGGCTGCTGGCATTGGCCACCCCTCCTTAACGGAGCTGTCTCCAGCTCCACATTCTCTTCCCCCAAGTCCCAGAGTAGGCCTCTCTACTGCCTCTACTCCTCTTCCAAGTCTCCACCCCCTTGCACGCCAAAGCCCCAGTCCTTCTCTCCTTCAAGGTGGTGCCCTGTGCCTGAGGCACAGCTCCTCCCCCCCATTTGCTGCCATCAAGGAGGAAGCACTGGAGGCCAGGGACGCTTGGGTTCCCGCCCTGGCTTCTGCAGAGGCCCCACATCTGGATTTGGTTACGGGAAGGAAAAGGGGAAGAGATTTTAGGGTGTGTGTGTAGGGGGGCTGCAAACACACCTGGCTGGGCTCTGCATCATGTGGGTGGAGGGGAGAGAGGGGATTAGAAAAAAACTCCAAAATGCCCCTGGGAATCCCCCTCAGAGGCCAGGAACATCGTGGGGGGCAGGAGACAGGAACCTGGGAGGAGCAGAGAGTAGGCCCCCAGGGGAACCAGCAACACACCTGGAACCTGCTACCCACCCCACCCCAGGGAGAAGACAGGGCAGATGGGGCAGTCCTCCCTTGGAGTAGGTGATGTCCACTGTGCAGTGGGCAGGTGGGAACCTGGCCAGCCTGAGGTGAGGCCCAGGGCCTCTGTGGGTGGCAGGAGACAGCCCAGCACGTTGAGGACAGGATGCCTGGGTTCTGGGAAGGGGGTGGATAGAGGCGGCCGTCTCCACCCTCCATTGTTCCAGCCTGGATCTGTGTTTTCCTGTCTACAATTTACACACTGTCTCTGCTGCAGGGCTGTCCTCAGCGCTAGGAGTGGGCTCTTGAAATGAGCAAGTGAACACTGGCTCACTTTCTCTCCCATCAGACCTGCCAGCCTCCAGCTGCCTCCAACTCACTTTGATCTGTCAGTTCACTTGCCTCTATGTCCACTTCCATTTCTCATTCTGTCACTATCTCTCCCTTCTTTGCTGTCTCCACTTTAACCAAAACATGGTTTTGGATACTTAACATTTCTAAGCCTCAGTCTTCTCATCTGGAAAATGGGAGGAGGCAAACCTCCCTCCCCCGGGGTTGCCTCTTCCCTCCCCCAGGGTTGCTGGAGGAGAAAATAAACTTGTAAATAAAATGCATTCTGTGCAGGCGTGTGGCTTGGGAAGAACCCAGGTAACAGACAGGAAAATGAGCATTTCCTCTTGCACCTTTCTTTCCCAGCTCACTACACTTTGTCCTGGTGGTTTTCAGCCCCTGGATTTCCTCTTCCCTTGGTCCAAGTCTCCCCCACTCCTTCGGCATACTTAGCCTTTGATCCCCAGCCCAGAGCGGCTCTGCTCAGAGCCTGGGGGAGAAGGGTTTTCCAACTGCCTTTGATTCTTCCCGGTCAGCAGCCCTCCATGGCCGCTCCCCACAGACCCCTTTGATTCTAAACAGCTCATTGGAAGGAGATTAGGGACGCAAAGAGGAGGGTATATAGGGCTCTTGGCCACTCCTCTGGGGAACGAGGAGGGAAGTGAGATTCACAGATCTTGAAGAAACATTTGGAGGGGAACATAGAAAAAAATATATATCTGAGGTTGAGTTAGGACAACGAGAGACCATGCAGGGCAGTTTCTCCTGCCTCTTAGGACTGGAGGAAAGCCAAGGTTTCAGGCAGAGCTGGGGGCTTAAATGGCATTTAAAAAGATGGGGTACAGCCTGGGGAAACCAGGGAGTGGTCACCTGCACAAGGCCAACGGCCTGGCAAGCCATTTGGGGTTTGGAGTGTGACTGCAGAAAGGGGCCATTCTGACAGGGGTGAGGAGTTGTAGGATCAAGGTGTGAATGCGAAGGAATTGGCGGTGGGGGTCGTTTTATGGCCTAGCACAAAGTTCTGCCTGGTCTGCGGTTGTTCAACCAGAAATGTTCCCTCATGTTTTAGCCAGAGGTGGGAAGTCGGATAGAAACTTCGGGGATCGTTTTCAAGACTGGGATGGAGGGGAAAGGAAGGGTTGCCAAAGGCGTTTGGCATTGGCAGTGAGAATTTGGGGAGCCGGGATAGGGAATGTCCCAGGTCTGAGCTCGACTCCATCTCTTTCCCAAACAAAAGAAAACTCCACTCCCCGCCGGGCCGCCTCCTCCCCGCCCCCCTCCTGTTCTAGCACTATTGGTCCGAAGTGTTTGGGGTCGCGGTGCCAGGATAGGGATAGGGAGAGGTCGGCCCCTCCACTTGGAGGCCCAACTTTGGGGGCCCCAGGAATGGCGGGGTGCCCCCAAGGAAACTCACCTTCTAAAGCGGCAGCGAGCGAAGCCCAGCAGAGCAGCGCCCGGAGCTCCATGGCGCCTCCTCACTGCTTGGATCCGATCCGAGTTTGGGGGGCCCTAGCCCCCCCAGGTCTGACCCTCCCCTGGGCGGGTGGACGCCGATTCCCCTCGTGGGACTCTACGTCGGGGCCTTCAGCACTGGCCCATGCGGGGCGCGCCGGGCACCGGCTGGCGGCGCTCAGGTGTGACCCCCACGTCCCCGCCGCGCGCGCGGGAGGCCGGTCGGGGGGGCGTCCTGCCAGTGGTCGCGCTGGGCGGGTGCCGAGAGAGACGTGGCTGGAGTCGGGGTCCCTCCGGGGCCTCGGGGTCCCGCCCAGGCTGGCTGGGTCGGCTGCTTCGCGGTCTCCCCCCCTCCCTGGAATGGCTCTGCTCGCGCCACCGGGCCGAGTGCTCTCCGCACGGGCGAGGAGGGTGGGAGCCCGAGCAGGGACAGAGCGGGAGGGAGGGAGACTGCGACGCAGGGCCGGGCGGGCCGGGCCGGGGCTGGGCCGGGCTGGGACTGGGCCGGGCTGCGCTTGGCCCAGGAGGGAGGGGCGCACGGGGGGCGGAGGCAGCTTCTCCCAGCCCCGGCTCCGCGAGGGGGCCCGGGCACGCTGATTGGCGCGCGCCCTGCTGAATAATTCATGAGGGAAGCGGAGCGGGGCGCCGAACGGAGCAGGTCGGGAAGTTAGGAGAAAGTTTGGAGAAGGGGGAGGGGCGGCAAGCGAGGAACGGAGGACAGCCCAGACATGCACAGTGGCCCGGCGTCCTGCTACGGATCGCGCGTGTTGGGCACCGGGACCAGCAGGCACCAGAGAGCAAACGGCCAGCAATGAGAAGGGCTACATAGACGTGTGCGTAAATGCGCACCGCACACACAAAGCCAGATCTGACTTTGCTTCGGACTTGAGTTTCCACTCCTAGATGCGCCCACCACCCCCCTAGTTGGTTCAAGGAACTGCAATTTGGGGGAAAGGGAGGAAGAAAGGGGTGGAAGCTTTTGAGGATGGAGGGCTGCCCTGCGTTCCCCAGACAACAGTGCTCTGGGGAACTGTGGAGCGAACGTTCATTCCATACACATTAAGTTTTGGGGACCTACTGTGCACTGAAAAATGAGCCGAGAGGGTGGGGCACAGAGGAAAAGGAATGTAGAAAAACCAAGGAAGCAAAGGCAAATAAAAGGTAGGCGTGTCAGAGACGGTGAGGGGTCCCGGAGAGATCACCAAATCACCCTGCTCACTCTCACTCTCGCTTTTTTTTTTTGTTTTTGCGGGGGGAGCTCCCTTGCAGCCATGACCCGGGGGCGGGAGCTGGAGCTGCTGCTGTCTTTCCTGAGGCTGTTTCCTGTCTGGCTCCTGGGGGCTCTCTGGATGGCTGGGAGGGGCCCTTCCTCTCATTACCAACCCCCTCCCCCAAGTCAATCAATTAGAAGAGAGAGTTCAGGAAAGACATGCTCCTTCCACCAAAACCCCTTAAACTTAGGCGCACTTATAGTGTGTGTGTGTGAGTGCTCCCCGGGTGGATGGCAGGGGGTGCCGCTGCGGAGCCGCCGGGAGACAGCTGGAAGAGAAGGGCTTAGACTCAAAATGTAATTGGCTAGGACAGTATCTAGAGGTGCTGAAAAGCCTAGACACAGGGAAGGAGGAGTCTGGGACACCTCGGGAGGGTTGCCAAGTGTCCTAACCCCCTAGAGAGGACAGCCAAGCCGGAATGACCTCTTGTCCACGTGCACTTATCTTCCTGCCACAAGAGGTGCTCCCCACACCCCTGTCCTTCCTCATTGCCCTGCCTTGGTCCTGCTCCGGGGTGGGGGGTCACAGAGGGCAGGAAACAGCCTGCTTGGTTGGAGCCAGGCAGACCGGCTGGGACTGGGAATCCCCTCCTCCCTTCCCATTCCAGGTCCAGTCTCCCCTTCACTTATTCAGTGTCTTCCTCTAGTTTATCCACACATTCCCTTTTTGTGGCTCTTATTCTGTAGTCAGATCCTCTAGCCTCTCAAAGCATGTCTTCTGTCTCCCTGTGGGCTCTGCCTTGAATCCCCTTCAGTCTTTTGTGTGTGTGTGTTACTGGAGTTCAAACTCAGAGCCTCACGCTAGCTAGACAGGCACTCTACTTGAGTCACTCTGCCAGCCCTATTTGTGTTGGGTATTTTCGAGATAGAGTCTTGTGAACTATTTGCCCAGACTGGCCGCTAGTCACAATCCTCCTGATCACTGCCTCCCTACTAGCTAGGATTACAGGTAGGAGCCACCGTTGCCAGCTTCCTTCAGGCTCTTGACTGCTTAAATTTTCTCATTTAGTGGGAGATGCAGTTCATCACTCTGTAGAAATAAGGAGTCACAGCCGGAATAGTGGACAGACAGGGGATCCGCAGGGAAATGGGCATGGTGGAGGGAGGAACTGACAAGACTGAGAGCTGAAGAGATGAAACAGCTCAGTCATGTTGGCCCCCTCAGTGAGAGCAAAGAAAAGCCCAAGGTCAGAAAACACCCACCCTATTCCGTATCAGACCATCAGTGCCCCACCCCTCAGCTCCTAGTACTAGTGTGTACCAATAAAATGAACAAATGAAACCTTTATTGAACAACTACTATGTGCTAAGAGATCACTGTGCTAGTTTGCAAGATTTGTATTGTATTGGTGGAGAAGAGGCCAGACAGCATCTTACTGTATAGCCCAGGCTGGCCTTGAACTTTCAGTCCCAAGGACTGGGATTATAGGTGTGTGGCAACTGCACCCTGCTCAAGATTTCTAAAACATGAGGGTTGACAACATAGCTCAAATGATAGATTCCTGCTTAGCAAGTGTGAGGCCCTCAGCACAACACCCCCCACCCCATTATAGAGGGGGAGGAAAAAAGAAAGAAAATTGTAAAACATGGTTCCTTAAAAAAAAATCTGGTGGTGGGGCACCCTATTATGGGGACCCCCCCAATCTCTGGGGCTTTACTCTCCCACTTTACACTTTTCTATTTCAATAAGCTCTCCTGCTTTACTTGCAAAACACCACCACCACCAACAAAATCTGGTGAAAATCCCATGATTTCCCCTCTCCATGGAGGTGACACCTGAGATTTTTACTGTAATACTCAGAACCACCCTTCCTGTGAGTCTGAGATAATTTCTTCCACCCTCAGACAACCAGAGCCACTTTTCAGGCAAGCTAGGGGTCTGTTGAGTTGCATGACACAGGTGACATTCATGTCACTATACCTGAACCCGTGCTTATCCCGAAGACTCAAATCTCAGGGCTGCCTTTCCTCAGTATTAGAGTACTGGAGATCTTCTCTGTCCCCAATTCATCATGTTGATAGTTATGTGACCATATTGTGACAGTTGTTTTGAGCAATCTTGGTTCCCTATATATATGTAATAAACAGCACAAAATAAATCTCACTCTTCACCGTAAATTGTTGAAATGCTCACTTCTCATATTCCAGCCTCCCTTTCTTCTGGCCTACCTAACTCTGGCAGGTCCAAAGTTCAAGTTTACAGCAAAGATCATGAAGTTTAAACTTTAGCGCCCCTCACTTGCCTGCTGGCTCCTTCCAATATCCTGGTTAATGAATGCCATCCATTTAAACAGTTCTTAAAGTGAGCCACGGTGCAAGAACACTTGCAATGGCTTACAATCTAGAACTAGGTGTGGTGCCACAGGTCTATAATTCCAGCACTTAGGAAGCTTAGGCAGGAGGATTGCAAGTTTGAGGCCAACCTGGGCTACATAGTGAGACTGTGTCTTAAAAAAAAAAAAAAGCTGGTGGAGTGGCTCAAGCGAAAAGAGCGCCTACCTAGCAAGTTTAAGGCTCTGAGTTCAAACCCCAAACCCCAGTGCCACCAAGAAAAAAAAAAAGAAAAATGCAAGTAAGGCAATTTATAAAGAAAAGAAAAAAAGGGGGACTCAAGTGGTAGAGTGGTGGGACCCTGAGTTCAAGCCCTAGTACTGCCATCAGATTTTAGACAAGTGTACCATGTTTTCTCTCATTTATGGAAGCTAGGAGAAAACAAAATAAAATAAAACAAACAAACAAAAAACTAAGGTCATGAAAGTAAAGGGATTTATAGGGAGGTGGAAGAGGAAGGGAGGATAAGAAAGAGAAAGATGAGGTGAATATAATAAAAGTACACATTACATGCACATATGGAAATGTCATGACTAACCCCTTACTATGGACAATTTAATACATACCAATGTAAAAAGCATTCATATGGCAGTAATATTGCATTTGGTGATTTCTTTTCTCACTTAATATGCAATAACTTTAATATCTTTTTTTTTTCTTTTGATAGGATTGAGGTTTGAACTCAAGGCTTCACATTTGCAAAGCAGGCATTCTGCTGCTTGAGACACACCTCCAGTTCATTTTGCTCTGGTTATTTTAGAAATAGGGTTTTGCCAACTATTTTCCCAGATTTGTCTGGAACCTTGATCTTCCAGATCTTAGCTCTACTGCTTGAGCAACTCTACCAGTCCCGTTTTGTGTTGGGATTTTTTTGAGCTAGGGTCCTGCAAACTATTTGCCTGGGCTGACTTCGAACAGGGAACCTCCTGAACTCTGCCTCCTGAGTAGCTAGGATTACAAACAAGAGCCACTGGTTCTGGGCTTTGTTTTCACTTTCTTAAGGAGGTTCCCCAAAATGGTATGAACTTCAAGACCCATAAAAGGTGGACCTGTTCACAACAAAGCTTCTGGAACTCATCATATACAAAGTTGTAATAGAAACGTGTGTAGAGGGATTGATGGTACAAGTGTGTAATTCCAGCATTTGGTTCTGAATTTTTTTTTTTTGCGGCACTGGATTTGAACTCAGGGCCTCACTCTTGCTAGATAGGTACTGTACCACTTGAGCCACTCCACCAGCTAATTCCAGTCTTTGGAAGGCAGAGGCAGGAGAACCTTGAGCTCAGGACCAGCCTGACTACATAGTGATACACTGATTCAAAAAAAAAAGAATTAGCCAGCAGACTGGGCAAATAGTTTTTGAAGCCCCATCTGGGGAAAAAAAAAAAAAATCACGAAAAAGGGCTGGTGGAATGGCTTAAAGATGGTAGGCCCTGAGTTCAAGCCCCAGTACTACAAAAATAAATGAATTATAAAAATTAAAAAGAAAAAAAGAGAAAGAAAGAAAAGGATTGTGTGCATAAGGTTTGTTCATTTCTTTCTTTCCTTCCTTCTTTTTTCTTTTCTTTTTCATGGTGCTGGGAATGGAACCCAGGGCCTCACATATGCTGTACAACTGAGCCAACCCCCAGTCCCTGGTGGTCTGTTTACTCCCATGTGGTTCTATGTTTCAGACCATTATCAGTCTGGCCCATTGTCTATCCAGGTCCATGATATGTGTTCAGTGAGTATTTGTAGGCTATTTATTCTTTAATTGACTAGTCATTCTTTGATTTATTCAATATTTATTGAATATCTCCTGTGGGCCAGGACAGAGAACATGAAGTCACCTTTGCCTTCCAGAACTAGAAGGCCATGGGTACAAACAGCCAGGAGGCCTTGACAAGACCTGAGTGGGAGA